TGTATGTGGAGAATCATTTAAAATTTTTTATATTTAACCATATAAATATTTATAAAAACCCTGTTTCTTCACCAAATTTTAAAAGCAAATTTTCAATATTCCCATAATCTAAGAGGAATAAAATGCTTAATATATTTATTTTAATTATTTCCTTTATATCTATATTGTCTATAGAATTAAATAGAGAAGGGGCTAGATTTTGTAATTTTCCAAAGGCATCACGTAATAATGTTACAAATACTGGTTTCTATGTTAGAGGCGACGAAGATTTTGGAATGCAAAGAATTAGAATGAATGGAAATCCTGGAACTTGTAACCCAAAAATTCCGAAACAATGGGGTTCTGTCATTACTGTTGCGGATGGTGGAACTGTAAGAAATGTGATACTTGGTGTCTCTTCGGATGGAACTGCTGCTGATATTAATTGTATGGGGAGTTGTACACTCAAGAATGTTTGGTAGGTCCTTACTTATTTAGATGATTAGAAGGAAGGATAACATGCTTAATGCAAATTACATATATGTATTAAGAAATCACAATATAAGTATTTGAAGTAAAAAATACTCACAAATAAAGTAGTCTGTGGTCTACCTATAGTTAGACTGCTTTTATCTACGCTATTGAGTTCAGATTGAGTTGCAAGAATTATATCCATTATTAATCATTTCAGGTGGGAAAATGCCTGTTGGCGTGCTGCTAGCTTTCGTGCGACCGCAGAATACAACCGAAAACATACAAACCAAGAAGGAGATTCAACACAGCAATACACATATGTACGATAATTTTTAAATTATTTAAAATTTTTTCTAACTTTTAGATCGTAGATGGAGGAGGCGCTCTGGACGGCTTTCAAAAACTTTTCGATCAAAGCGGTCCCGGAAAAACTATAATAAAGAACTTTTGTGCAGTAAATAGCCAGATAATTCTTCGATCCTGCGGGGATTGCGGGAAGCAATATCAACGAGATTTATCAATTGTGGATTCTAAATTTATGGGACCTGGAATTTTAATTATTGGTAGTTCTTTCAAAGTGGACTATAATGCTATATTCACATTTTAAGGACCTAATCATGACTATAATGACAAAGTAACTCTTCGAAACGTTTCTGTTTATGGGTACAACAATCCAGCAACTAAAATAACTTATGCTTGTGTCGAGGCAGAGCAAAATGCTAAAAATCCTTGGCAATATGCTTGGGCACCTGGACAGGCAGGAACTGGCAGTTCTTGTAATTACCCAGCTACTGCAGTTAAAGTGGTTAATTGAGGGAAATGAAGAATATGATAAAAAGATACTATTCAGCCTTAGCAATTTTCTTCTGAGCTCTACAAAAATGATTATTCAGATTCATTCACTTCTTTCTCCTTTTTAACCTTCATCTACATTTCTATGCTTTTATTATTTAAGCTCTTTAGAAAAATATTTTTTAATAAAACTCTGAATTTCGTTCGTATGAAAAAACTTTCCTGAGTATCCTTTGCTCTAAATGTTTATATGTTATATTTTGGGTTGTCGAAGGGAGGAAAGAAATGATAAAATGTGTTAAACAACGTTGTCGCCCAGTAGCTCAATGGTTAAATTACATGCAAAGCTTTAAGTAAGCCACGCGACACTCCAAGCGATTTTCTCATTGGTAGCTTGATTTTGCTAAACTCTTACTAAATTTAAATAATATTAAACTAGGTTAGCAACCCGACTCCGAAAACCCCGACGGATTTTTTGTCAAAAACCCCGACCCGAACCCCGAAGGCTCTACCCCGACAAAATTTTCGCCTGCGTCGCTAAAATTTAAATTTAAGAATTTGTTGAAACCCGACCACCGACCCGAACCCCGAGCCAAAAGTCAAACCATACCCCTATCCCCGACATGCCTTCACCGGCAAACCCCGATCACCGACACACCCGCCACCGAAGGGTCGGATTGCTACCTTATATTAATGATATCTAAGCATATTTTTAAATAACTTCTAGCTAAATCACGTGAAGCTTTTTTAAAAATATTTACTTATTTCCTGACTTTTATAGTTTATGATTTCAAATAAAATGCTCCAACTCTATTTTTTAAATTAATAAATATTTTTTTAAACAAAGCTACAAACAAGGCATATGATTTCAATTTGATATTTGTTTTTATTCATTTTTTCATTTTTAAAATTTTTTAAAGTCAGTAGAAAATTTAATTTTGCCAACATTTAATTTTAATAATAAGCGGGAAAATATTTTTTTCCTTTTTTAGCTTATTTTGGGTATTTTGCCAACTTAGATATTATTTTTATTTGTTTAAAAAATTTATTCGAGCGGCATTTAGAAAGGCCACTGCCAATCCCCGGTGGTTCAACTATTGCTAACTCATACCAAATTTGAATAACATCTCCAACTAAATTTTTAAAAATATAGCTAAAGCACGTGTACATGTAGCTTTTGAAAAAAAACATTTACTCAATCACATGACTTTAAAGCTTGCCTAAATTTAATTTTCAGCGGAAAAAATATTTTTTTTCTTTTTTTTAAACTTGTTTCGGGTATTTTGTCAACTTCAATACAATTTTTATTTATTTAAAAAATTTTGAAGGGGCATTTAAATATACTAGAGTTGCTAGCTTTTAACTCATTAAAAAATATTTTATTGAAAATATCGTTTTTAATACCTTAAAATGAATTTAATTTATCTCTCCTATTTACTAATTATTTTTATGCCTCTATTCTCTCTCACTTTAAATCTTGAAGGGGCTAAATTTTGTAATTTTCCAACTCCAACTGGTACTAATGTAACAGACAAAACATTTTTTATTAATGGCCACAAAGATTTTGGAGGACAAAGAATTATATATAATGGACAAAAAGGAACTTGCAATCCAAACATACCCAAACAATGGGACTCTGTTATTATTATTCAAGATGGGGGCAGTGTAAGCAATGTGATACTTGGAGCCTCCCCAGATGGAACATCTTCTGATATATGTTGCTTGGGCAGTTGTACTCTAACTAATGTTTTGTAAGTGAATAAACTTTCACAGTTATAAAGAGAATTCTCCTGTTCCTTATTGTGTAGTGGCGAAGCCATTAGGCGAGAATTATATCTTTTAATCCGAAGAAAATATATCTTTTAATCAGGGCGAACAATATTCGACATTTACTCCATTAGAGTGATTAAACAGACGATGACTAGCAATAACGAAATCCGACTTGATTGGACAAAGTTATGATCTTTTATTTTAGCTCCTTACCTATGGCATCTGTGGAGATTTTTGCTGCTACGGAGGCCCCAAATACGTCCAGAGCAACGGATTTAGGAATAGGTTTATGTTACGAGCCCAGACCCATCGCCCGTAGTAGCCCAGACCCATCGCCCGTTGCTCTGGACGTATTTGGGGCCTCCCTTTTGGATCTTCGATTTTTAGTGGTCTATATCTCGGTCCATTCAAGTCGGATTTCGTTGATTTTGGTGTCATTCGACTCAGCTCGACGAGCTCTTTCAAATGATATAACATTTGTAATTTAAAGCCTGCACCCACGTACTAAAGTGACCCTTGATTTTATTCTTAATTTTCTAAATTTTAAATTTTTATTTTAATTTTTAATTCTTTTTAAATTTTGGTACAAAAAAATTTATAAACTGCGTCACATGAATTTTAAATATATTAAATTATAAGCTATTTTAATGCTTAAATAAAATTTAATAAATTTTACAAACTACTTTTCCGGAGAATTTTTTGAGTTTATTCGTCGCTTACTCGCTATAGAAGACAGGTGCAGTTATTAATACTGCAAAATTATATTTATAAAATTTTCTATAAATTTTTATTTGCGTCATCATTTTAAATTTTTGTTGGCTTCAACTTTTTTTGGCTTTATATTTTTTATTTATTTTAGATTGAGGAGAGATTTTTATTTAATTCATTATTGCTTTAAATATATCTGGAGAGAGTCAATCCTTCACATATTCAAAAATAAATTTTCCAAAAAATATTTTATTCAATTACCAATGAATTTTATTCATTATTCTCCCTTTATTTTTATTATTATACTAATTTATATCCCTCCATTCTCTCTCTCTTTAAACCAACAAGGAGCTAAATTTTGTAATTTTCCAAAGCCATCTGGTACTATAGTAACTAGCAAAACATTTTTTATTAATGGCAATGACCACAAAGATTTTGGGGGACAAAGAATTATATATAATGGACAGAAAGGGACATGCAATCCAAACATTCCCAAAAATTGGGAATCTGTAATTATTATACAAGATGGGGGCAGTGTAAGTAATGTGATACTTGGAGCCTCACCAGAAGGAACATCTTCTGATATTTGCTGTTTGGGCAGTTGTAATTTAACTAATGTTTTGTAAGTGTTAATCTTAATTATTTGTGACACACCTTTGATTGATAAAAAAATTAATAAATTAAATCACAACCTAATTAAGCTTATAAAAAATTTAAATTAATTTTTTAGCTGGGAGAATGCTTGTTGGCGTGCTGCAAGTTTTAGAGCTCCCGATGACTTTAATCGGGCACAGAAAAATAAGGCAAACATGGCTGAAAACACCAAAGGATTTACTTATGTAATTATTTAAAATTGTAACTAAATTAAAATGATATAATGACTTTACAATTGGATATACATATAAGACAAAATTTGGGCTTTTATTCTTCCGGAATTGAGAAAAAGACATAGGCGTATAAAAGATGTAGTCCATAAAGACGTAGTGCATAAGAGAATTTCATAAGACCTTAACCTTGATAATTGACCTTATTTCGTTTGGGTACCTTGACTAGATTCTTGACCTTGAGTCAAGGAAAAATAACGGTCAAGGAACGCTGAAAAATGCCATGCTCTGGACTTTGGATCCAGGAAAAATCAAGGTCTGGATCCAGAACCAGCCCGCTCTCTGTTGCATAGCACCGTTTATATTTTACGTAAAATAAGTATATTATCTGAAATTTTTATAGTATGTATAATTTTAAAAAATTTTATAATTTTATTTTATAATAATAAAGTAATGTTATTTAAGATTGTAGATGGAGGTGGAGCTCTAGACGGCTTTCAAAAAATTTTCGATCAGAACGGCCCTGGAAGAACTATCATAAAAAACTTTTGTACTGCAAACAGCTCTATAGTTCTTAGAACTTGTGGGGATTGCGGGCTTCAATATACACGTCATGTGAACGTTAGAAACTCAAAATTCATGGGGCCTGGGCTTACAATAATTGGTAAAATTAATTTCTGTTACAGAAAATTTGTCTTATACAGGAGCAAATCTTAAATACGACGACAAAGTATCCTTTCATAATGTTTCTGTCTACGGTTATAATAACGAGAAAACTAGAATGGCTTATGCATGCATAGAAAATTCAGGAGAGTCGGCGAGTTTTAAAGGGTATGCACCTGGGCAGCCCGGAAATGGCCCTACTTGTACATATGATGCAAGTGAGGTAAAAGTGATAAATTGAGAGAAGATGAAGTGAAGAATATAAAATATATTTTAAAATTTTAAATAAATTATTTTCTGAAATACTAAATACACATGTCTGGAAATTATAAGCACCCCTTAGTTTTTGAATAAAAAGCTAAAATTAAAATTTTGTAATTTTAAATATTTTTAACACTTTCTAATTCATATTCAAATGATAGATACATTCAGTGATAAATAAACTATGATTGTTGGGGAAAATAAGCAAAATTTCCGAAAAACGACCGGCTGAAAATTATAACCACCCCTTAAATTTTCGACATTAGCAACATTATTAGAAGCAATTAGGGTTGTCGGTTCCTGGAAATACTTCAGATAACCGAACAGAATACTTCGGGTACCCTCGGTTCTACGGTTCGGTCCAGACCGACATTATTATATGAGTTATGGATTAGTTATGGATCAAAACTAAAGGGTTGATTATCATTTTCAGACAGAGTGTATTTAATTTTTCTAATATTAATGAAGTAGTAACATGTGTTAATCCACAGACTGGTGATTTTACTAATAAAGATTAATTACCAATTGTCTGCGAGGACAATTTTGAAAAAGGAAATCTTTTCAATCTGGGACTTTTGATTCTATCACCATTAGACTTTAACTAAATACCGTATTTACTGTATTAGAGCCCCATGGGGCTCTATTTTTCAACTATCTCGAAAAAGGGGGCTTTATTAAGGAGGGGGGCTCTAATTCGGAGGAGGGCTATAATACAGTAAATACGTTAACATTTTATGAAAAATCGGTATTAATTGTAAAGTTTTTTCAATTTATTGAAAATTTTCTCATTTCTTTTAAACTAAAATTGGAATTGGATTTATAAAATTTATTCATTTGGAACCTTTGACGCATCGTCTAGGACCATCCATTCTTTAATTTAACAAAATATTAATCAACTATGCCCTTTCCTTCCGGCGAATATATGTTCAATATTTATTTTTTTTTATTAAAAAAATGTTTTCATAAATATGCACTTTTAATTTTAACGGAAACTCAACTTCCTTTCAAAATTACGCACTTTCCTTTCAATGAATTTTACTCTTGTTTTTATATTTAAAAATGGGAAAATGGTTGTAATTTAAGATTTCGTAAATTATCTGTCGGATATTTCGATATTCTTGTTTATTGCCCTTTTATACATCTACATAAATTTTCTTTTATATAAATTGACATTTAAAGGAAAATTTATTATTTTTCTTTAATTCCAAAATAAATTTAAATAGTTGTTTCGAATGAAACCTGCTAGTTTTTTAATCGTTTTAATCTTCAATTGGATAATATGGACATTTGTTAAAACTATTCATATTCGAAAAAGTTTAGCTAGACAGGTTGAAAAGGATAACACGGCAAATGATGTTAATAAAATATTAATTGATGAGGCTGAATCTTCGATGAATCCTCAGATACAAAAATATAAAGAAACGTTAAATCCAAAATTAAAAATTACTAAAAAGGACAAAGATAAAGGAGCAGACAAAGTGCTTGACAAAAGTGAATACCATAAACAATATTACCAAAAAAATAAAGAAAAGTTGCGTGAATATTCGCGAAACTCCTATGAAAAGAATAAAAAAAATTTATTAAAAATTAAAGAAAGGCAAGAATATTATCGAAATTACCTAAAACAAAATAAAGAAAGGATAAATGAGAATCAGCGAAATTATTATAAAAGAAAGAAGGAAAAAATACGCAAAAGTCAGAAAAAGTATGAGCAAAATAATAGAAAAAATGGTAATGAAAACAAGCGAAAATGGCGACAAAAAAAGAAAAACGTTCAATCTGAAAATATTGAAGGAACTTCATTTGTTAATCCACAGACTGATGATTTTACTAATTTAGTTAAATTATCAATTGTTTGCGAGGAGGAAGGAAATCTTTTGAAAAAAGGAGAGGAGGAATGCAACAATAGTGAGGATGAGCAAAATCAAATCGAGGTAGAAGAACCAAATAAAATTCTTGAAGATGAAACTAATCAAGTAGATTTAAATAAGAATATTCATCCTTTTGATCTGAATGAGATGCCTGATGGTGATGAAATTGAAGATAATTAAAAAGAACGGTTCTTGTCCAAATAATTTTAACAATTATTCTCGTAAATTTAAATAATTGATTCGATTATTCAAATTTACCTTACTAATTCGTAAACTATGACCAGCTGGACTGGGACTATCAGCTTTTCTTTTTAAACAAGTAAATTTATCAACTATGCAATTGCTTCCAATGAATACTGGATTCTTTGAGTTATTATAATTCTTTGAGTTAACTTTTCTTTTTACTTAATTTACTAATGTTCTCTCAAGATTAATAGCATTAAATATTTTCTTCTTTAATTAGTAATTGAATTTTTTATGATTTTTAATTAGATAATGTTTTCATGAATATACACATTTTAAAATAATAAATAATAATTTTAACAATTTAATCATTGAGAAGTCAAAAGTTAAAGGAGACATTACAAAGCTTTTTAGGTCTCGATTAAACCGATTTCTAACTGCTCTCGGACGTTAGTCGTTGCTTATTGAAATCGTATATCCAGTTATTTCCTTGTGTGCGTAACAACCTTTCTGGTAGATTACTATTATTACCGGCTAAATTAAAACAGCATGAAAAATGAAACCTTTTATCCGATATTATTTATTTTGGTATTTAAAGTTAAAATGCCGCGAAGCGAATTCGAAATTATATTTATTTTCCATAAACACAATTTTTGTCTCCATATCTGTATATATCTAAAGAATTTTTTCCAGAATTTTTATGAACATAAAAAAATTTCTATGAACAACCTCAGTTAAACATTCTTGGATTAACCGCTTTTCCTATTACCAAGCATTTTCCTTTATGCGGTTTTCCTGCTTTAACTTTAATTGAATAACTTCCTGTTATATTTATTTGTTCGGATAAAATAAACTTATTTGTGTTTGAGATTCGCTGGATTCAGATTACCCTTATTAGAGACCATACCGCGCCTCTACATGATTGTTCTTTAAAATGTCAAACGGACAAATTTTTACTCTTTTGATATAATTCTAACTTCCTTTGAGAATTTATTTAATTTTTGATTTAATTGTTCGAAGAACTAATTTTTGCTTCTTTGAGTTAGCTTTTCATATTTTGAAAAGTTATTAATTCTTTATTAATATTAACTTTATTAACTCTCTCATATCATAAATAAATCTTTGTCTTTAAATTGATTCATTTTTTATTTAAAAACTAGGGTTTAATAAATAAATTTTTTAATGGATAAAAATTTCATAAATAAAATTTGGAAAGAAATTAATTGAATCAAAGTTTAAATAAATTCTAAAGGGAGAAATTTATAAGTTAAGCAACAGCAGTTAGCAAACAGTTAAGCTTATGTTTCTCTCTTATGGTTCTGTCCTGCTCATAAAATGCTTGGTTCTGATGAAAAATTAAAACTTTCACAAGCAAAATATGGCTATCCTATTGTAAGGTGGATATTGTAGGGTGGACTCTAACCCAAAGGCTAAAAAGCACTTTGATTCATACTTCCGTTAATGTTACTTTCGAAGTAAACATATCCCTTGCTTTCCACATCCACTTCCACAATACTTCTAACGAAAATATTTTCAATATTTATTTTCGATTAATAAGATTTTATACTTTTTTTTTATTAATTCCGGAAAATCTTTTATTAAAAAATGTTTTCATAAATATGCACTTTTACTTTTAACGGAAAATCAACTTCCTTTCAAAACAACGCACTTTATTTTCAATGAATTTTACTTTTGTTTTTATATTTAAAAATGGGAAAATGTTGTAATTTAAGATTTCGTAAATTATCTGTCGGATATTTCGATATTCTTGTTTATTGCCCTTTTATAAATTTGCCTAAATTTTCCCTTATATAAATTGACTTTTAAATTAAATTTTATTATTTTTCATTAATATTAAAATAAATTTAAAAATTCGTTTCGAATGAAATTTTCTAGTATTTTAATCGTTTTAATTTTCAATTGGATATTATGGGCAACTATTAAAACTACTCCAACTCAAAACAGTTTAGCTAGAAAAACCGAAAAGGAGTGTACGGCAGCTAAAATATTTACTGATGATGGTGAATCCTCGGTTAATCCTCAAATTCAAAAATATGAAGAAATGGTAAAACCAAAATTGAAAAATACTAAAAAGGACACAAATAGAAAAAATAAAGGAAACAAAGTGTTTGATAGAAGTGAATATAATAAAGAATATAACCGGAAAAATAATGAAAAGAGGCGTGAATATAAGCGAAATTACTATAAAAGTAATAAAGAAAAATGTTGCCAACTTATGAAAACTTACTACCAAAATAATAAGGAAAAGCTGCTGAAAAACATGAAAACGTATAGACAAAATAATAAAGAAAAGAGAAATGAATACGAGCGAAAATGCCGACAAGAAAAGAAAAAATTTCATTCTGATAATAATGAAGGAACTTCATTTGTTAATCCACAGAATGGTCATTTTATTAATAAAGGCAAATTACCAATTGTTTGCGAAAAGGAAGGAAATCTTTTAAATCAAAGGCAAGAATTTAGTTACGCAGAGGATGAGCAAAATCAAATCGAAGTGGAAGAAACAAATAAAATTCTTAAAGATAACACAATAGATTTAAATAAGAAAATTCATCCTTTTGATCTGAATGAGAAGCCTGATGATGAAGAAAATGAAGATTATTAAAAAAAACGATTCTTGTCAATTTATTTCGTAAATTTGAACATTGAATTTTATTTAAATTTTGATTCAATTAATTTGTTTCAAATTTTATTTAAGAAATTTTTATCCAATAAAAAATTTATCTATTTATTAAAGCAAAGTTTTTAAAATAAAAAGTGAATCAATTTAAAGAGCAAAATTTATTTGTTTCTTATAAAAAGGAACGCTTTTAGAAAAGTGAATGATAGGAGTGAAGTATTAAAAGTTAATATTAAGAAAGAATTAATAATTTTTAAAATAAGAAAAGTTAACTCAAAGAAAGAATTAGTTCTTCGAACAATTAAATCAAAAATTAAATAAATTATTAAAGGAAGAGAATTTAATCAAAAGAAGTAAAAATTTGTTCTTTTGACATCTTAATAAACTATCATTCTATACCTTAAATACCAAAACAAATAAAATTGAATAAAAGGTCTCATTTTTATGCAGTTTTAATTTAGTCTAAAACATAATTTAGCCGGAAACACAACATAATTTTTACACTTCATCCTTTACTCATATATTATCATATATATTTGTCACATTTTTTTCTATATTAGCGGTATATTGTATATCAATTGTAGTAATGAATAAATTTGAAATTTAAATAATAGGATCTACGAATTCAATAAGCGATGACTTACATTCGAGAGGCAGTTAGAAATCGATTTAATCGGGACTTCATAAACCTTTTAATGTCTCCTTAAACTTTTGACTTCTCAATAGTAAAATTGTTAAAATCATTATTTATTATTTTGAAAAGTGTATGCTAATGAAAACATTATTATAATTAAAAAATTTTAAAAAATTCGAATATAAAATAAAGAATTCATTTAATGTTATTAATCTACGGAGAAAACCGACAACCTTAGTTATTAATTTAGTGGAAAATAGAAGTAAATTTCTTATATTAATTGGAAGCAAAAGCATAGTTGATAAATTTATTTAGTTAAAAGAAAAGCTGATATTCCCCGTCCATCTAATCATAGTTTACGTATTAGTTAAGAAATCAAAGTCAATTATTTAAATTTACGAGAATAAATTGAACAAGAACCGTTCTTTTTAATAATCTTCAATTTCTTCATCATCAGGTATCTCATTCAGATCAAAAGGATGAATTTTCTTATTTAAATCTATTGTGTTATCTTCAAGAATTTTATTTGGTTCTTCTACCTCAATTTGATTTTGCTCATCTTCCCCATTATAGCATTCTTCCTCTTTTTGATTTGAAAAATTTCCTTCCTCCTCCCAAACAATTGATAATTTAACTAAATTAGTAAAATCACCAGTCTGTGGATTAACAAATGAAGTTCCTTTATTATTATCAGATTGAACGTTTTTCTTATTTTGTCGCCATTTTCGCTTGTATTCATTCTCCTTTTCTTTATTATTTTGGTAATAAATTTTCCTTCGATTATTTAACTTTTCCTTATTTTTTTGGTAGTAAATACTCACATATTGACTCTTTTTTTCTCTATTCGTTATATAGTAGTTTCGCTTTTGCTCACTTATCTTTTCTTTATTTTGTTTTTGGTAATTTCGCTTAATTTCTAACAACCTTTCTTTATTTTTTTGATAATATTCTTTATCATATTCACTTTTCTTAAACACCTTGTCTTCTCCTTTGGCTGTATCCTTTTTAGTAATTTTTAATTTGGGTTTTAACGTTTCTTTATATTTTTGAATTTGATGATTTACCGACGATTCAGCTCCATCATTTAATGTTTTATTAACATCATTTGCCGTGGAATCCTTTTCAACATGTCTAGCTAAACTTTTTCGAATAGGAATAGTTTCAACAATTGCCCATAATATCCAATTGAAGATTAAAACCATTAAAATACTAGCAGGTTTCATTCAAATGAAATTTTAAAGTTTATTTAGAAATTAACGAAAAATAATAAATTTTAATTTAAAAGTCAATTTATATAAAGAAAAATTTATGTAAATGTATAAAAGTGCAATAAACAAGAATGTCGAAATATCCGACAGATAATTTAGAAATATTAAAGTACAACCATTTTCCCGTTTTTAAATATAAATTCAAAAATAAAATTCATTGAAAGGAAAGTGCGTAATTTTGAAAGAGCGTTGATTTTCCGTTAAAATTAAAAGTGTATACATATTGTTAAAAATATTATTTTATAAAAACTTTTGGGCTTATAAAGAAATTATAAAATCTGACTAATTCAAGAGAATTATTGAAATTATATTCGTTGAAAAGAAAGGACATAGTTCATTTGGAACCTTTGAAATTTGGTTTAGGACCATCCGATCTTTAACTTTAGAGATACGTATCAACTATGCCCTTTCATTAAAGCGAATATAATTTCAATATCTTTCTTTGATTAGTAAGATTTTATAATTTCTTTATTATAAAATCCGGAAAATTTTTTTATTAAAATAATATTTTCATAAATACAATTTTAATTTTAACGGAAAATTAACTTTCAAAATTACACACTTTCCTTTCAATGAATTTTACTTTTGTTTTTATATTTAAAAACGGAAACATGGTTGTACTTTAATATTTCTTAAATTATCTGTCGGTAATATAAGAAATTATCATACTTCTTTTTTATTATATGTAGTCCGGAAAATTTTTTTATTAAAAAAGATTTTAAAAAATATGCACTTTTACTTTTAACGGAAAATCAACTTTCTTTCAAAACTACGCACTTTCCTTTCTATGAATTTTACTTTTGTTTTTATATTTAAAAATGAGAAAATGGATGTAATTTAAGATTTCGTAAATTATCTGTCGGATATTTCGACATTCTTGTTTATTGCCCTTTTATACATCTACATAAATTTTCCTTTATATAAATTGAATTTTAAATTAAAGTTTATCATTTTTCGTTAATTTCTAAATAAATTAAAAATTTGATTCGAATGAAACCTGCTACTTTTTTAATTGTTTTTATCTTCAATTGGGTATTATGGGCAACTGTTAAAACTATTCCAACTCAAAAAAGTTTAGCTAGAAATACCGAAAAGGAGTGTACGGAAACTAAAATATTAAATGATGGGGCAGAATCTTCGATCAATCCTCAACTTCAAAAATATAAAGAAACGTTGACAAAAAAGGACACGGATAGAAATAATGGAGAAGACAAAGTGAATAACAAAGGTAACTATAATAAAGAATATTATGAAAAAAATAAGGAAAAGTTGCACGAATATCGTCGAAATTACCGAAAACATAATAGAGAAAAAATGAATGAGATTCAGCGGAATTATAGTAAAAGGAATAAAGAAAAAAGTAGTCAGCGTATGAAAATTTACTACGAAAAAAATAAAGAAAAGGTTAAGAAAACCATCAAAAAATATAAACAAAATAATAGAGAAAAGATACTGAAGAGCAAAAAACTTTATTACAATAATAACAAAGAAAAATGGAATGAATACCGACGTAAATCCAATCAAAAAAAGAAAAACGTTCAATCTGAAAATATTGAAGGAACTTCATTTGTTAATACACAAACTGATGATTTTACTAATTTAGTTAAATTACCAATTGTTTGCGAGGTCGAAGAAATTCTTTTTAATCAAGGGCAAGAATGCAATTATGCCGAGGATGAGCAAAATCAAATTGAGGTAGAAGAGCCAAATAAAATTCTTAAAAATGACACAATAGTTTTAAATAAGAAAATTCATTCTTTTGATTTGAATGTGATACCTGAAGATGAAGAAATTGAAGATTATTAAAAAGAATGGTTCTTGTTCAATTTATTCTTTTAAATTTGTATAATTGATTTCGATTCCTTAATTAATTTTTCGAAGCGGAACCATTGTTGTACTGGCATATCAGCTTTTCTTTTAAATAAATAAATTTATCAACTATGTAGTTGCTTTCTATAAATATAAATAATTTGCCTTTATTTCTCCCTAGATTAATACATTTAATAATTCCTTCTTTATTTAGTAGTCAAATTTTTTATAATCTTTCAATTATGATAAAGTTTTCATGAGCATACACTTTTTAAAATAATAATTTTAACAATTTAACTATTAATAAGTATTGTATACGATGTTCATGCTGTGGAAAAATTCATTGGATGGGAAAATTCATTGTATGCAATCCCACCGCCACTTTTATTATTTCTATTTGTGTTTATTATTTCTATATCTTTTATTATTTCTATTTTATTATTTCTATTTTTTAAGAGACGCAAACCTTTTTAGTTGGGTCATGAATACCCATGCGATAACAACCGCAGAGCACTCGACGCCCAACTCGTCGAGTACGCACTTGACCATTTGGTGATCATCAGCTTGACGAGCTGATGGCTTCGTTTTTTCACTTTCCTGCATACGAGCAATTACGAAACTTTTTTTTCGTTCCTTTTCATCGGCACTTTGTTCATTAATTTTATCGAATTGATTTTGAATATTTCAAGGGTTTCGAAAATAGTGTTAATTGCGGTATTTTATTTTCAATGTTGTTAATTTTTGTATGAAGATCATAAAGAATTTTTTTTGCTGTCATTTTTTAATATTAATATATCTTAAAAATTATATTTTCATAAATATGCACTTTTAATTTTAACGGAAAATCAACTTTCTTTCAAAACTTAGCACTTTCCTTTCAATGAATTTTACTCTTGTTTTTATCTTTAAAAATGAGAAAATGGTTGTACTTTGAGATTTCATAAATTATTTGTCGGGTATTTCGACATTCTTGTTTATTGCCCTTTTACACATTTACACAAATTTTCCTTTATAAAATTGACATTTAAATTAAAATTTATTATTTAATTTGTTTTTAAATAAATTTAAATAGTTGTTTCGAATGAAACCTGCTAATTTTTTAATCGTTTGTATCTTCAATTGGATATTATGGACATTTGTTAAATCTACTCCAATTCGAAAAAGTCTAGCCATACAGGTTGAAAAGGATAACACGGAAACTAGAATATTAAATGATGGGGCTGAATCGTCGGTCAATGCTCAAATTCGAGGATATAAACTCCCAAAAATAAAAATTATAGAAAAGGACAAAGATAAAGGAGCAGACAAAGTGCTTGACAGAAGTGGATATAATAAATCATATTACCAAAAAAATAAAGAAAAGATGCGTGAATATCATCGAAATTATCGAAAGCAAAACAAAGAAAGAGTAAATGAAAAGGTGAGAAACAATTACCAAAAAAATAAGGAAAAAATACTCAAAAGGCAGAAAAATTATAAAAAAAATAATAGAGAAAAGGTGAACGAATACCAACGAAAATACCGACAAGAAAAGAAAAACATTCAATCTGGTAATAATGAAGGAACTTCATTTGATAATCCACAGACTGATGATTTTATTAAAAATGGTAAATTACCAATTGATTGTCAGGAGAGTTTTGAGGAAGAAAATCCAAATAGAGCAGAGGAAAAATGCAACAATAGTGAGGCTGAACATAATCAAATCGAGGCAGAAGAGCCAAATAAAATTCTTGAAGAGGACATAAATCAAAAAGAATTAAATAAAAAAATTCATTTTTTTGATTTGAACGAGATGCCTGATGATGAAGTATGAGAAGATTATTAAAAGGAACCGCATCTATCCCATTTATACGTTCTAAGATTTTCTATATTGATTTATAAAATTGGACGAATATTTTACTTTTTTAGGCCTTAGTTGGTCTGTAACTATCCGTCTTTATTTTAAAAAATATTTATAAACTATTACATATGTTCTTCCTTTTCAACGAATTTAATTTTAATATTTTTTGATCAAAAAGATTAAATAATTTTTATTTATTATATTTTGGAAATTTTTATTACTATTCAAGCAAATATTTTCAAGAATATACACTTCAAAAAACCTTAATTAAACTTTCTCTAGGCTATAAATCAAATATTTGATTTATAGATAGATTTACGACATATCAAGGAAATTCAGATGATTCCAAAAATTAAAGCTAGTTTTATATCGGTTTTTCCATTCTTCCCATAAAGGAGATGTAGAGAAATGGCCTAATTTCTCTAATTTAAACCAAAAATAAAAATCCTTTTCCAATCAAAGTTTATTTATTTCACAAATAAAATATAAAGCAATGGTAGGCTAAACTGAATCCAGCGATTAGGAAAATATTGCTAATGTGAAGCAAGTAATAAGGAAGGCTTAAGAAGAATGAAAGGTAAAGAACTGATTGGAAGGAAAAAGAATAAGCGTATATATAAAGAGTATGTGGACACAAAAGGAATAATTACATGCTAAAGTTTATGAAGGCTGGGAAAATTCTTTAGATTAAATTATTAGATAAATAGCACAAAAATGTTTTTATGGAAAATAAATAAATTGTGGGAGAAAAAATTGTTCCGACTTCGCTTCGCGACAGAGAGTTATGCTAAACACTTATGTATATTATTTCATCATTACTTAATGTTTCTATGTGAATAATGCGCTTTTAGACATAGCGGTAACATCATGCTTCGGCAAGCCTTTGGACCTGATAAACCCTCGGAGCTTTACCGATTAAGGTGATAGGTATGCCAGACTTATGTCTAGGATACCCTTGTCTTCACTTCCAAGGAAAATAATTTCAATATTTAAAATTTTATTTGTACTTCCTTTTTTATTATAGTGCGGAAAATTTCACATTAAAATAATGTTTTCAAGTATATGCACTTTTAATTTTGACGGAAAATCGACTTTCTTTCAAAACATGCACTTTCCTTTCAATGAATTTTATTTTTGTTTTATACGTTTAAAAGGGGAAAATGTTTGTATTTTGAAATTACGTTAATTTTCAGTCGGATATTTCGACATTCTTGTTTATTGCCCTTTTATAGACTTACACAATTTTTCCTTTATATAAATTGACTTTTAAATTAGAATTTATTATTTTTCATAAATTTCTAAATAAATTTAAAAATTTGTTTAGGATGAAATTTACAAGTTTTTTAATCGTTTTATTCGTCAATTGGGTATTATGGACATTTGTTAAAACTATTTCTATTCGAAAAAGTTTAGCTAGACAGGTTGAAAAGGATTTCATGGCAAAGGATATGACTAAAATATTAAATGATGAGGCTGAATCGTCGGTCAATCCTCAAATTCAAAAACATAAAGAAAAGTTAGAAATACAATTAAAAAATACAAAGGAAACGGATAAAGGAGGAGATAAAACGTCTAATAGAAGTGGATATTTTAAAGAATATAGACAGAAAAATAAGCAAAAGTTGTTTGAATATAATCGAAATTACCGAAAACAAAACAGAGAAAAAATGAACGAGAATCAGCGGAATTATAATGAACGGATTAAAGAGAAAAGTAGACAATATTTCAAAATTTACTACCAAAAAAATAAGGAAAGTATCAGGAAAAATTTACTACCAAAAAAAAAAAAATTTTAAAGAATATAGACAGAAAAATAAGCAAAAGTTGTTTGAATATAATCGAAATTACCGAAAACAAAACAGAGAAAAAATGAACGAGAATCAGCGGAATTATAATGAACGGATTAAAGAGAAAAGTAGACAATATTTCAAAATTTACTACCAAAAAAATAAGGAAAGTATCAGGAAAAACCAGAAAACGTATAACCAAAATAATAAAGAAAAGCGAATTGAATACAAGAGAAAGTACCGACAAAATAAGAAAAACGTTCAATCTGATAATAATGAAGGAACTTCATTTGTTAATCCACAGACTGTTGATTTTACTAATATAGTTAAATTATCAATTGTCTGCGAGGAGGAAGGAAATCTTCTTAATCAAGGGGAGGAAGAGTACAATAAAGGGGAAGATAAGCAAAATCAAATCGAGGTAGAAGAGACTAATAAAATTCATGAAGATGATTCAAATAAAGTAGATTGTAACAAGAAAATTCATCCTTTCGATCTGAACGAGTTACCTGGGGATGATTAATGTGAAGATTATTAAAAAGACGGTTTTTTACAATTTAGCCTGGCTTTTCCATAATCTATTCATTACAATTTATTTTTTATATAATTTTAAGTACTCACACAGTAATAAAAACTACTATATTTTCTAATTGATTTTAAATTTTCGAATTATAATAAGAAATGTAGTAATAAATTTTTATAAAAATATGTGATTATTTGATTAAAGACCTATTTAAATGACATGGACCATGGCACATTTTATTAAATGAAATTTAATCATGTTTACATTTTTAATGTAAACATTTCTATTTTTAGAAATTTTGTAATTTTTATCAGTAAATATTTTTTAATATAAAGTACACTATAGAATTGTATTTCTTATAGTTTAGAAATAAAGTAAAAAATTTAATAAAAATTTTTCTTTAATTTTTCAAAAAATAAAAAATTCTTAAAAAATAATAAAATTTTAATAAAAATTATTTCATTAAGATAAAAAAAAATTAATTAGTTTTAAATTAACCAATTAAAAAGACTTTTAAAAGAATTTCTGATTGATTTCTGAAATTATAATTCCATAATATGTATCTTTTAGTTCTCTTTAAATGAAATTTTAAGGGCTATATTAGTGTTTTTTAATTAGAATACTGAATTTGGCCGTATCTGAAAATAATGCGGCAATCAAATTTTTTCCTTCATTTTTTCCTTTCCACATTTTTCCTTATTTTGTACAGAAAGGCGGACTTTTTCCCTCGTTCACTTCAAATGGACGGACTCGGACAGACAAAACAAGGACCGTCAGTGTTTTGTCTGTCTGTGACCGACCGTGTGTCCATCCGTGTTTTGTCTGTCTGTGACCGTCCGTGTTTTGTCAGGACGGACCCGGACAGACAAAACACGCACACACATCGGTCAGCTAAAACACAGACAGAAAAAACGTAAATTCTCACAAATGAAAGAAAAATAATCCTTTTGCGTTTATAGTCTTAAGGCAAAAACCAAAAATAGAGAGAAAAATATAAGAAAATTAACCATTTTTAAGAATAAGGAAAAAAATTTGATTGCCGCATTATTTTCAGATAGGGCCCTGAATTTTATAGCACATTTTCACTAGTTTTTGCTCTATATCTAATGCATAATTTAGGAAATTTTGCACATTTTGGTGATATTTTAGCCATTATATACATATATGCGCATATTTTGTGATTTTACGTGCATATTTTTCAAGCCCTACTTATTACAGACACTATCAAAGTAATGAACAATACAATTAAATTAGGTAATTAGCATATTTCCGGTAAAATAATAATACCGGCGAGAACAGGTTGCGTGAAAATAGGTGAACATTTATTTATTATCCCACGCACTCTCATGTCAATAATTTTTATTTGTTTTGGTATTTAAAGTATAAAATGGTTGACCTTTAAGATTTCATTGTCGGTAAAATAAAGGCTGCGTAAAATATGCGACCTATTTTATTATCCCTTGCACTTTCATCTCAGTGAATTTTATTTGTTTTGGTATTTAATGTATAAAATGGTTGTCTTTTAAGATTTCATAATTTGTCTGTCTGACATTTGTACACATTAGCATTATTGCCCTTTAGTACATTTTAAATCACAAATTAGTACATAACCTTTAGTACATAACAAATTTTCATTCATATAAATTCACATTCAAATTTATTATATTCAATTTTTTGTAAATTTTTAAATTTGTTAGAAATGAACATTGCTAGTTTTTTAATCTTTTCAATTTTAAATGCGATATTATGGACATTTGTTAAAACAATTCCAACTCAAAAAGACTTAGCTAAACATGCTGAAAATGATAACATGCCAACTGCATTATTAAATGATGGAGTTGAATCGTCGGTCAATCATCAAATCCAAAAAAGCACGGGGAAGAATGATGCAGTTAGAAATAATGGAGAAGACAAAGTGAATAAACGTGAATATTATAAAGAATATTACCAAAAAAATAAACAAATGTTGCGTGAAAATGCGCGACACCGCTATGAAAATATTAAAAAGGATTCATTAAAATATAAAGAAATTCAAGAATATAAGCGAAATTACCGCCAACAGAATAAAGAAAGGATACAGAAAAACATGAGAATTTATCAACAAAATAATAAAGAAAAAATTAGACAAAATAACAAAGAAAAGTTGAATGAATATAGGCGAAAATACCGACAAGAAAAGAAAAACGTTCAATCTGCTGATAATGAAGGAACTTCATTTGTTAATCCACAGACTGGTGATTTTACTAATAAGAGTAAATTACCAATTATTTGCGAGGAGGAAGGAAATCTTTATGATCACGGGCTGGAAGAATGCAATAATGTCCCCCAGTATGGACAAAAACAAATCGAGTTAGAAGAACCAAATATTGTAGATGACACAATAGAATCAAATAAGAAAATTCGTCAGCTTGATCTTAACAAGAAACCTGAGGAGGAGGAATGGGGTGATTATTAATATAAAAAACGTTTTTCAGTTTATTTCCATTTAGCTGTATATTTTATTTCTTTTAATTGCAACGTTTCCTCTATAATGACGTTTTTTGACGCATTATATCGTCTTTTTATCCTTTGTCTTTTTAAATAATTTACTTTTTAAACAAAAAAACTTTGAAAAAAGCTGTAAATAAACTATTTTACTATTTAATATTCTTATAAAATAGATTTTTGTAATAAAAATTTTTTTTATTATACATATTTTACAAATTTATTCTTGGTTATAAGAGGTTTATCCGAAAAATCTGGAAGTCATTTTACCATCTTTAGACGGTTTTGATTAAACGGATTTGTTACTGCCTCTTGATGCCAGTCGTGAGTTATTAAATTGGTATATGTGTAGTGTCGAATAACACATTGAAGTCCGTTTGCCCTTTTATCTTCGATTAAATCCATTGGCAGATACGGAAGTGTTTGCAAACATTTAATGATATACAGGTTGCGTCAAAAGTTCCCGTACTTTTGTTAAACTAAAATTTATTTCAAATATTTTTTTAAAATTTATAAAATCTATGAAAATGTGTTCATTAATATCTAAAGAAAAGAAAAATTATAACAAATGTTCAAAGTGTCCTCCCTCCGCCAAGATATACGCGTCCAAACGCTTACTGAAATTGACCACCATGTCGCGCACTCATCCACAATAATTAACATCCACAATAATTAAAATAGCATTGCCAGGAAATAAAGGTTGCGTAAATATGCGACCTTTTGTTTATTTTCCCACGCACTTTCATTTAATTGAATTATATTTGTTTTGTTATTTAAAAATTCAAATGGTTTTTCTCTCAGTTTTCATAATTTGTCTGTCTTTATAAATGTACTTTTATAAATATTGCACTTTTTAATACATAACAAATTTTAATTAATATAAATTCACAGTCAAATTTATCACATATTTTCAATTTTTAAGTGAATGTAAAAATTTATTTTGGATGGAATTCGCTAATTTTTTGACCGTTTTAATTCTTCTTCTTGTAAATTTGAATAATTCTTGTAAATTTGAATAATTGATTTTGATTCCATAACTATTTGTTTCGAATTCGAAAGCTATGACCAGTTGGACTGCAACTATCAGCTTTTTTAATAAATAAATTTATCAACTATGTATTGCTTTCGATGAATATAAGTGATTTATGTCATCTAGCTTTCCTTAGATTAATAACATTAAATAAATGTTTTTTATTTTTTAATATAAATAATTTCTCCTGAAAACTTTAAAATCTGGATTACTGTACTATTTTTAATTATAAGATTTTCTAACTAAAATAACATTTCAAGTTAAAATCAATAATTCCTCAATATATTAGCATGCATAGAAAATAACACACGCCTAAATTTTAATATTTCTATATTTTCTTGGTTTCCATCTAAAAATAATATATAATCTTTTAGAAAAAGTTGATTAGATAAGGAAAACTAACTCATCAATTGAAGAAACAATGAATGAAAAAACTAACTCACCTCAGGAGTCAGAATACTACATTCCCAAGTTTATTTTTTGTCCAGATCCTCTGCGCACAATTCAAATGTAAGCATAAGTGTGTAGCATTTCTGCCTTGTAAAGAAAATTTTTTCATTTCTTTTGTTTCTCGACAAGACCTGATCACGCTTATGTGATCCTTTTGGAACTAATTTTTCGGCACGTTGATTACCTAAAACATTCATAATGAATAGACATTCCTTTTCTTGTATTCCTCTTCATCCTTTCTCAAAGAATGAACGGCAATTGGATAGGAGTTATAAGAGTTATAAGGAGTTATAAGACTCCTCTTCTTCTTCATAATCGCGATTGCTTCAAGAATGCCTCAGGATCTGCATCTTTTTATTATGTCCGAGGTTATACAAGATTTACCTTTGTCGATGTGCACAAAAATAACAGTTTATTTGAAAAAGAATGTAAAATTAGGAGAAGTGAATGAGGCTTGAAACGTGGATTAGAACAGGGAAAGGGCGGGCAAGTATGATCCAACATTCTGGAGCTTACATGCTTTTATTACCAATACATAACATCAGAAATAAATAAAACCAGAAACCTGAATATATTTTGAGTTTTACTTTTACTTTTAAACATTCTCCCATAATACATATTTTATTCACATCTTTCCTTTGATTAATTATTAAGTAATTTGTTTTTTTAAATTCGCACTTTCCTTTCAATGAATTTTACTCTTGTTTTTATGTTTAAAAATAAGAAAATAGTTTTAAGATTTGGTAATTCGTCTGTCGGAAATTTAAATTCTCTAGCATATTTGTACTTTTATTTACATCTATTAGGTAATATTAAATTTTACTACAAAACATAATTTTTGCTTTACCCTTCCTGGCTTATACCTTTCCCAAATATTATATCCACCAGTTATTTTAAATTAATTTTTCTTATTTTTTGTTAATTTAAACTATAATTTATTAAATTTGTTTAGAATGAAACTTGTTAGTTTTTTATCGTTTTAATCTTCAATTGTATATTATTAATATCTGTTAAAACTGCTCCGATACGAAAAGGTTTGGCTAGACATGCTGAAAAGGATTACACGTCAACTAAAACAATTAATGTTGAGGCTGAATCGTCAGTCAATCCTCAAATTCAAAAATATAAAGAAACGTTAAAACCTGAATTAAAAATTACTAAAAAGAATACAGACAAAGGAAAAGGCAAAGTGTTTAACAGAAGTGAATATAATAAAGAATATTTCCAAAAAAATAAAGAAAGGTTGCGTGAAAATAAGCGAAATTACCGAGAACAAAATAAAGAAATGATACGTGATTATAGACAAAATTACACAAAACAAAATAAAGAAAGTATACATAATAAAAATAAAATTTATTACCAGAATAATAAAGAAAAGCGGATTGAATATCAGCGAAAATACCGACAAAAAAAGAAAAACATTCAATCTGCTGATAATGAAGGAACTTTATTTGTTAATCCACAGACTGTTGATTTTTCTAATTTAGTTAATTTGTCAATTGTTTGCGAGGAGCAAGGAAATCTTTTAGATCAAGGAGAGAAAGAATTCAATAATGGCGAAGATGAGCAAAATCAAATTGAGGTAGAAGAGCCAAATAAAATTCTTGAAGATGACACAAATCACATTGATTTAAATAAGAAACTATATCCTTTTGATCTTAATGAGAAAACTGGTGATGATGGACTTGAAGACGTTTGAAAGGATTGATTTGTCCAGCTTATACGTGACTAAAAGTTAAATATTGGATGTTATTTGAGTTTCATTTGGATTCAATTCGAGTTCGGAATCTACTTTTCTATCAATTTATTTTAAATTCTTTCTTTCCCAGAAAATAATCTAAATATTACATTCACTTCCTATTCTATACTCTTCAATATTATTATTTTGTATTGATATTTCTTTAATGATTAATTCAAATTTATTTTTTGTTTATGTATGTATCTGGTGTAGTAGAAAACATGTCACTCCATTTGTAGAACATGTCTTGGATGTCCCGATTAAACCAATTTGTAACATTCTGATGCTTAAATAGCTTATGTATGACACTAATACTTAACATCAGAAATAAATATAACCAGAATCCTGAATATTTTGACTTTTCACTCTTAATTTTACTCGTTTTCCCATAATATTTCATTCAAATTTTTCCTTTGATTAATTATTAGGTAATTTGCTTTTTCTAAACTTGCACTTTCTTTTCAATGAATTTCACTTTTATTTTTTCTGTTTAAAAATAAGAAAATACCCAGTTGTTTACTACTTTTAAATTTTGTAATTTGTCATTGTCTGACTTTTAAATTCCCAAGCATTATTGCCCTTTTTATTTACATCTATTAGGTAATGTTAAATTTTATTACAAAACGTAAATTTACGCTTGGCTTAAATTCTTCCCAAATGTTAAATCTCCCCAGTTTTTAAATTAAATATTTTTATTTTTCGTTAATTTTAACTTTAATTTATTAAATTTGTTTAGGATGAAACTTGCTAGTTCTTTAATCGTTTCAATCTTCTATACGATATTATTGGCAACTGTTAAAACTACTCCAACTCGAAAAGATTTGGTTAGACAAGCTGAAAAGGATTACAAGGCAAAGGATCTAACAAAAACAATAAATGTTGAGGCTGAATCGTCGGTCAATCCTCAAATTCAAAAAAATAAAGAAAAGTTAGAACTAAAATTAAAAAATACAAAGGAAACAGATAAAGGAGATAAAGCGTTTAATAAAAGTGAATATAATAAAGAATATTACCGGAAACATAAAGAAAAGTTGCGTGATTATAAGCGAAATTACCGAAAACAGAATAGGGAAAAAATGAATGAGAATCAGCTAAATTACTATAAAAGGAATAAAGAAAAAAGTCGTCAATATTTGAAAAGTTACTACCAAAAAAATAAGGAAAAGCTACTGAAGATTAACAAAACATATAAACAAAATAATAAAGAAAAGTGGAATGAATACAACCGAAAATACAGATTAAAAAAGAAAAAAATTCAATCTGATAATAATGAAGGAACTTCTTTTGTTAATCAACAGTCTGGTGATTTTACTAATAAAGGTAAATTACCAATTGTTTGCGAGGAGGAAGGAAATCTTTGTACTCAAGTAGAAAAAGAATGTGATAATGGCGAGGATGAGAACAAGCAAATCGAGGTAGAAGAGCCAAATAAAACTCTTGAAGATGCCACAATAGATTTAAATAAGAAAATTCTGCCTTTTGATCTGAACGAAATACCCGATGATCAAGAATTGCAAGATTATTAACGAGAGGTTTTTCTCTATCAGTTTGTGCCCTCTAAATTGTATATTAGGGGACTTGATTTTCAAAAATGGATTTGCATTCCTTTATATTTTTTCTATTTTTTTTAAATTTAAAGTCAATTTTCTGTTTTTTAAATTTAAAGTCAATTCTCTGTTTTTTAAATTTAAAGTTAATTTTCTGTTTTAAATTAAAGTTTAAAATTTTAACTTTTAATAAATGTTTTTATTCTTTTAAAATTAATTTTTTATCTTTAAATAATTGTTGAGAAAGTATTTCTCAACAAGTGGTACCGCTACATTTGACGAGCCTGTTTGAATCTTAGTTTTCTAAATGTTAAAATTGTTTGTTAAAAGAATTAAATTTGTCACTTGAAAAAGTTAAAGAGAAACTGTTTTTAAAGAAATTTATAACTTAAAAGATTAAGTTACATTTTAAAGTTAAATTTAGAAGTTTAAAGTTAAAAATCTATTTTTAATTAAAGCTAAGAGTTTAAATTAATAATTGAAAATGTCCGGTCCTTACAAAAGAATGATCGGAACTGTTTTACAACGTTTAAGAGTAAGAATTGAAAATGCAGAAAGTATTAAAGTAAAAGATGAAATTGATGATGAAGAAAAAAATCACTTTTGAATGACAGAAAAGGTATTCGAAAAATTTTAAAAACTTTAGATGAAAAGAACCAACTTTGGTACTACCATACACAGTTCTTCCAATGTCACTTATATTTATTTTTAGAAAATTTTTCAATGTTTTGTTTAAGCAATTTAGATTCCTGAATAATATTAATTATAGGTGGCAAACCTAATCAATTTTACTGATCTGTTTATGTTCAGACAATAATTTAAATCTTTTTTGTAGACATGAATGCCCTACAATCTTCCAGCAATTCCTTGAATTTAAAGTTTTCATTCTTTAATGATTTGCTTTCAACCATCTGAATGCAATTTTGTTTCAATTCAATTGCAGAGTCTGGAAGACCTACAATAAAAATTATAATGTTCATTTCTTCGCTTGTCAAATTAATTTCTGACTTTTCGCATTCGGCATTAACGAGATTACCAAATTGCAATACATTTTTAATTTTATTAAATTTCAATTTTAGCTTTCGAAACGCACCTCGGTTCCCCAAGCTCCTCTTTCAATTCTTTAAACAATTCTTTGAATTTCAGGTCTGACAATTTACATGGCGCGCCAATTTGTCGTGCCTTGCACAACAATAAAGTAACAATCAATAATGTTTTAAATTATTTATTTAAATTAATTTAAAAATGATCTAAAAATTGATGCGTTTCTGAAAAATATTTTATACCAAATATAATTGAGTTATGATCAGAAGATGAGAAATTTTCCTTCACATAAACTTTATATATTATATTAAAAAGACGGGAGAAAACAAAATCGAGAATTTTATCCCCCTAGTCGTTTCATTTACATGTTGTTTAATTTGAAGCTAATCCGTCCAACAATAACTAACTTTGATGTATTAGTATTATCACATATATTTTCATTCTAGGAGAACTTGTCTTATAATATTTTATTCAGATTTTTCATTTGATTAATTATTAAGTAATTTGCTTTTTTAAACTCGCACTTTCCTTTAGATGAATTTTACTTTTGTTTTTTATGTTTAAAAATAAGGAAATTGTTATTTACTTTAAGATTTTGTAATTTGTCTCTGTCTGATATTTAAATTCCCGAGCTTTTTTGCTCTTTTTATTTACATCTATTAGGCAATATTAAATTTTATTACAAAACGTAATTTACGCTTGGCTTAAATACTTCCCAAATGATATATCCCCCCAGTTATTTTAAATTAAATTTTATTATTTTTCGTTAATTTTTAACTATAATTTGTTAAATTTGTTTAGGATGAAACTTGAAAGTTTTTTAATCGTTTTAATCTTCAATTGGGTATTGTGGACATCTGTTAAAACTGTTCCAATTCGAAAAGTTTTATCTAAACATGCTGAAAAGGATTACATTGCAACTAAAACATTAAATAATGGGGCTGAATCGTCGGTCAATCCTCAAATTCAGAAACATAAAGGCACTTTAACAAAAAAAGACAAATATATAAATAAAGGAGGAAACAAATTGCGTAGCAGAAGTGAATATAATAAAGAATATTACCAGAAAAATAAAGAAAAGTTGGTTGAAAAGAGTCGAAAACATCGAATACAAAATAAAGAAAAGGTGAGTGAAACTCAACAAAATTCCTATAAAAGGTTTAAAAGTGAAAGATGTCAATATAGTAATACCTACTATCAAAGGAATAGGCAAAGAATACTCGATAACAAAAAATTATATCAACAAAATAATAGAGAAAAGCGAAGAGAATATATGCGAGAATACAGACAGAAAAAGAAAAACGTTGAAGGAACTTCATTAGTTAATCAACAGACTGACAATTTTATTAATAAAGGTAAATTACCAATTGTTTACGAGGAGGAAGGAAATCTATTAAATCAAGGAGAGGGAGAATCAAATAACGCCGAAAATGAGCAGAATCAAATTGAGGTTGAAGAGCCAAATAAAACTCTTGAAGATGCCACAATAGATTTAAATAAGAAAATTCTGCCTTTTGATCTGAACGAGAATCCCGATGATCAAGAATTGCAAGATTATTAAACATCGAAGTTTTTCTCTATCTGTTTGGCCCGCTATATTATATCTTATTGGGGTTTTTGATTTTCAAAGATTTATTTGGATTTTTTAACACTCTTGCATAATAATATTTTGCTAAAATTAGTTATTTACTTCAATATATACATATAAAAATGATCGGGTAACATAAATATGATTAATTTATTTAATTAAAAATTTATTACTCATCAAATTGTAAAATGGGGGATTTTATTTCCATTTAAAATTTATTTTTCGCTGAATTTTTAAAATAAAATTTTATTATTGATAAAAATGTTAAATAATATTATTATTGTTCTATTTCTTTTTATTATTCAGCCTTTTACATGCTTCAATTTGAGTCGATTTGAGGGTGTCTTAAAAAATTTTTTAATTTCTAAAAAATATTTAAAGCCCTAGAGACTCGGCACCGCAAGGGAATTGAATGTTGGCGTCCTGGCGACGATTCTCATTTTCATTATTTTGGTTATAAAAATCACTCATATGATAACAAACCTTGTTTAAAATGGATGGATGTTACTAAACAATTGTTGGAAATTTACAAGGATTATAGTACATTGTAAATAATTATAATAGAATCTCGTGGGGCTTAGCCCTTTCACAGTATTTTTCACATGCACCTTGAGTTCCTTTTTTCGAAATTCGACAATCTAAATTATTTTAGAAAATAAGTAAGATATCAAGAGATAGTGTGTAAGGATAATTCACCCAGCAGCATTTAAAACGCTTAGGCGGGGGTTAAACGATCTAAAAAGGAAAAAGAGAAAGCATCAGACATAGCTCAGAGGTAGAGCTCCTGCATATAGTGAGCGAAAGCGTCTAGCAACAACTAGCTAGGCGCTAAACTTTTGCAGACTCTTTCTAGAGGCAAAAGTTTGGCTATGGTCATGCATTGATCCTGTGACCTCCCGCAAGCTAATGCTAGGCATTCCAATAGCTTAATCTACTGAATAAACATTGGGGCGATGTTTGTACCTTATAAATTAATGGATCTTACAACCCCTCCCAATAAGCGTTTTAAAATCCACTCAGCTGGACCTTGCCTATTCCTTAACTAATAATAATAATTTAATTAAAAAGTTTCTATCCAAATGAATATATGAGCCATAATTATTGCCGTTCAACCAGTCTCAACCTCTACGAGTATAACAAAGAGATAAGCAATGCAACATTTCACATATTTTTTAATGCCACAGATTGGAAATTTGGCCCTTGGTGTTATGTGAATAAAGAAGTAATTTTGCTATTTTTAATTTGTGTATTTTCAGTGACGGGAATTTATTAATTAAAGGAAGCGAAATACAAGTTTTATAGAATAATTTAAGTTTATTAGTCTTATAAATGGGGGCGGTCTTGGAGAATCTTCGGATATCAGTAACCAAACAGAAAATTTTTAGTGATGTCACCTCGGCGAATTAGTAAAGATGCCTCGCTCAAATTTCCCTCATTTTCCGCAAAGCAGGCGAAAATTGAAGACCTGGATGCCAGAAAATCATTCGTTTTCCGTTTAGCCAAATAGATGAACTTAACCGAAACGATATCAGAACCAAATATAACGGTGAGAAATACAGCACGGTCGATTTCGTTTCTTCTCTAAGACTAAAAATGCTTAAACTTCATTCAGTTTTAATCGAAAACTTTAGGACGACGGCGGGACTAACGAAGAAAGAATTAGGCAACGTAATTTAAATGAAATGCTTTGGCCTGATTATTATTTGATAAATAAGAGTGGACAATTGGAATGTTTTGATGAGAACAAGAAGAATTGTACTCTTGCAAAGATATACCCTGACGTTGTCGTAGATTATGAACCTAGACGTTGTTTTGATAAGTGTGATGAAATTGTTACTACTACAAGAACTACTACTAATAATACAGGTACCACAATTAAGTCTACTACTAAACTGTCAAAATTAAAAAATTCTAACGGAACAATTTAAAATTATTTAAATTAGTTAAAATAAAATTTTATTTCCTTGTATAATTTTCTCATATGAGGAAAGATAAATATTTTCATAATTTTGCACTTTTTAATAAATTTTTTTCATATTTTTTCATAAAATATAGACATTTATTATATTGCTGAATGTGGGAATAATAAGGATTTTTAGTTGCTTAATAAATTAACACAATCCGGCAAAAATTAGAGACTAATTAAATACTTGTAGGCTTAAAAAAATACATTTGCCGCTTTTATAAAGGCAATAAAAAATACTTAAAATAATATAATAAAATATTATCTTTTATTTTTTGCTGTCCTAAATCTGTCCTAAATCAAGATATATTGTAAATTATACTATTTCTATCATCGTTTATTTTATTGCTTTATACTCACATTTATTCGACAATATTTTTCGCCTAAATGGCAGTTAAAATATTTTATATTACATAATATTATCGTTAAAATTTAAATTTTCTGGGGATGACATCTCTCAATCAATTAATTATTTTCACAGCTGAAGCAGGGTATTTACAACACACATCGCTCGTTCCAGCTTCTCCTGGTTTGTAACTATATTTCCAAGGATCTGCAGCATTTGCCCCCAGGTACTCATCACAAACAAATTTAATTTGTGTTGCAGGATTGTTGTTTCCGTAAATTGATATATTTCGAAGTGATAATTTGTCGTTGTATTGACGGTTTCCACCTTTTTTAAAAATTAGAATATATTTGAAAGTTAATGTAAATTTGTGGGGTTGATGGAATATCCTTGAATATCCGGATCCAAACAGAAGAAACGAGAAAAAATTCTTGGTTCCTCTTCTGTTTCAGAATAAAAAAGCTTCAATTATTAGTGTTGTGTCCGTACTTGCAGAAAGAATATAGTAAATGAAAATAAATAACACATCATCTGGTTGGATGGTGCACAATCGGTTGTGCTTCGGTCCAGGCTCATTCCGTGATGGTTCAATACCATCTCCTATCCAATGAAGTTTTCCACAGCATGCATAACAACGCATATAATAATTATATATTTTGTTCAAAAAATAGCTCGATTACTGTATGATTTAATGGTTAAATTGCCTTTATCTCTTAATTTAAGGTTGATAAAATTTACCAATTATATTGAGCATTGGTCCCATGAATTTCGAATTTTCAACGACAACCTCTCGCGTATATTGTTTTGAACATTTGCCAGCAGAAATTACACCTATTTCATTATTGTAAGAACAGAAATTTCTAACAATTGTTTTTCCTGGCCCTCCTGTAGCAAAAATTTTCTGAAAACCGTCTAAAGCACCGCCACCATCTACAATCTAAAAAATCAAGACCCAAAAATTTTTATTTAAATTATACAGCTTACATAAGTAAATTTTCTTGTATCTCCAGGCTTGGCGTCTGATGCACCTATAAAGGTACCAGCACGCCAGCAAACATTTTCAAAACTAAAATGTTGAAAATAGAGTTTTCAAAAATAAATTTTACTAAATAGTAAAGTATATCGAATCAAAAGAAGCTCTGGGGGCAAGTAGACAACTCTCTAGAAGTGATTGGAAGCTCGCACGAAAATTCGGTCCCTACTCATATCTGTGTATGAAGTACAAGTATGTGGAAACGAATAAGAGAAATTTCAAAATTCCAACCACTGCCCTTAGGCAATTTTAAAATCTTTCAGGATTCTTTTATTTTTACTCGCCTCAGTAAAAGACTCGGCGGTTCTGGATATCCAGTACCGAAAAAACCAAATAATTGGAAATTTCTGGTTCTGATATTGTTCCGAATATTCCCGATTGACTAGGAACCGCCAACATTAATCTAGACAGGAAGCAACCCTAACAGTCGGTAGTCCAATCTCGCATTCAAAATCAGCCCCGAACTTATAGTAGATAAACACTTATACAGTATTACAAAGCATAAAGACTGAATCCGTTTCGTTTCAGTCCAGATCTGTAAAATCAGATCTTATAACTACCCTTTTATTATATTCTTAATTAATTTTTTTATTTATTTATAAACTTACAAGACATTTTTGAGAGTACAACTACCCTGACAAATAATATCAGCAGAAGTGCCGATTGGTGATTCTCCCATAATAAGATTACTTATAGTAACTCCGTCTTCAACAATTATTGCATGATCCCAATCGTTGTTCCAGCCAGGAATATTTGGACGACAAGTATTTGGCTTGCCATTAAAAATAATTCGTTGCATTCCAAAATCAGTGTCTTTTGTAATACGTAAAGTCGTCTTTGTTACATTTGTACTTGTAGGCGTAGGGAAATTACAAAATTTAGCCCCTTGTTGATTTAATGCTAGGGCCAATAAAGGTATAGATGAAATAATTGAAAAAAATATATTAAGCATTTTTTTTAGATTTTTGAATTTAATTTTAATTTGTGTAACCATCTAGCTTTCTTTCAGTATATATAGGCATAATTGTAGTCAAAATTTAGACGATTTCCACGTATAAACTAAATCCACGTGTAAAATTAAAAATTAATTTCAGTCAATTTAGTTAATTTATTCACTTCCGGAAAGTCATATGAAAATTATCCCAAAATAATTTATTGAAATTTTTATACGTGGCTAACTTAGTGGCTCATTTAGGTGGTTCTAGTCTCTTTTTTGTAATAGACAAAACTTTAAAAATTTTTTAAATCATTTCTTTCTCATTTTTAAGGCTTGAAAAAGGATAAAAAATTCTTCTACACAAGCTTAACTTTTACATAAATTTTTATTTGGCTCATCTTATTGTTCATTAAATTTAATACAAAATAGCATAAATACAACATATCAGAGCTTCGATCTCGAATTTTTAAAAATCCGCATTTATATCAAAAATCCGCAAAAAACTTTTTTGCACCCCATGCAATCATCAAACACAAAAATTTAATTGAAATCTCTTTGTTTTTATTTTTTATGAAAAATATAAGAAATCCTCACAATTTTGAAAAGAACACAAAATTCCGCAAATCCGCATTTTTCAAAACTATCATCACTAGGGTTGTTGGCGACCGGTTATTAACCGGTACCCCCGGTTTTCGGTTAATTTGAATTTTAGAAACCCGGTTTTCGGTTTAGAGTTTTAGGCAAATACCGGTTTATTTTTGGACGAATTTTAAATAAAATCAATCATTTTCACAAATTTCCGGTTTTCGGTTTTTAAAATTTTTTAAAAACGGTTAATTTGGCAAAAAATTTCAAAAATTCCGGTTTCGTCACCCCTAATCGTCACCTATCAAAAAACCACAAAATGAAGAAAAATCCGCAGAAATCGAAGCCTTGGAATATATTAATGCAGGGCTTCGATCTCGAATTTTTAAAAATCCGCAATTTTGATCGAAAAAATCCGCATTTGGTATGAAAAATCCGCAAAAATTTATCAAACACAAAAGTTGAATTAAAATCACTTTATGCGTTATATTTTTTGACTCCAACAATTGAATTGATCATTTTTTCACTACTAGTGACTTAAAATCCGAACAATTAAAGGAAAAATTATGTTGACTTGAGCGAGGCCCGTAGCCAGGATTCTTTTCGGAGGATGGGGGGCGTTGGGCGCCTTTGGCGCCAAAAATTTTTATTTTCAGCGCCGCAGGCGAAAATTTTGCGGATTTTGGAAGGCCATGAAGACAAAAATGACATTTTATTCTAAAAACTACAAGAAAATACAAAAAATCCTCATAATCTTCAAAAGACCACAAAAATCCGCAAATCCGCATTTTTAAAAATAATCCTCATCGCCCTATCAAAAAACCACAAAATGAGGAAAAATCCGCAGAAATCGAAGCCCTGTATTAATGCGATATAATGTAAAAAATTTTAGTTAAAAGTTTGTTGATTAATTATTCATACTTCTAGTTCGACTCATTTAAAGAGCACTTGAAGTCTATAATTATGCTGTTAAGTCTTTTTATAAAAATTGATAACAAGTTTATAATAAAAAAATAAATTAACGGCACATCTTTATTACGGCATTTATCATTGTAAAGTTGGAAGGTGCTGGGGCAGAGGGATGTTGTGCGTGGCCAGACACTCACCAACTAATCATATCGTTGCCGAAAGGGATAAACATAATTAAAATAAAAACTAGACTGTCAATAATATTAATTTCATATTTAAATTATATTACACTTTCAATAATAAAAATACAAGTGATTAAAAATAGGCAGGATAATTATAAAATATAAACAGTCGGGTGAGGAACAGAATTTCGAATGACAAAACTTGGTCCAGACAAAAGTTCAACCGTCAAAAATTCGAATTAGCAAAACTTCGTCCAGATAAAACTACGTATGAACATAAGTTCGTCCAAAGAGAAAAATATGCATTTTAAATAGTTTGGGGTCTTTTAGGCGTGGCCATATAATGGGAACTTTGTCGCTTTTATAAAGGCGACAACACCTGGTTCTATTTACTGTTTCAGAATCAAAAAGCTTCAATTATTAGATATATCCAGACGTTGTCGTAGATTATGAGCCTAGACGTTGTTTTGATAAGTGTGATGTAATTGTTACTACTACAAGAACACTTACTAATAATACAAGTACGACAACAAAATCTACTACTAAACTGTCAAAATTTAAAAATTCTAACTGAACAATCTAAAATTATTTAAATTTTTTAAATAAAATTTTACTTCCTTGTGTAATTTCTTAATTAAAGGAAGGATAAATATTTTCGTAATTTTGCACTTTTTAATAATTTTTTTATATTTTCTCATAAAATCTAGACATTTATTATATTTATGTGGGAATAATAAGAATTTTTAATGTTTTTTTTAAATTAAATAATATAATCATGAAACTTATATGATTACCAAAAAATTTAACATAATCCAGCAAAAATAGGAGAATAGTTAAATAATTTGGAAACTAAATTCCGAATTTTTCAGTAAACTTGATAATATTATCCTTAAACTTAAATACATATTAAGTTTCCGGATAACTTTTTCAATATAAATATTATCCGGAAACTTGAGCTAATATTTTCTCCGGATTACATATTAATTATTATTCATTATTATTAGGGTGTAACATAAATAATTAGCCCCCTTGAGTAAAGTTAAATAAATATTTATTAAAATTCAAATAAATGTTTTCAAACTTCGAATAATATTTTTCTATGATCCTAAAAGAGTTGCCTATTTTCTGGCAAAAAATCAGAATCCTTTTACGAATGTCCAAGTTCAATCTCATATTTGAACTGGACACTAATTTCATAATTTTGCCTTAAACTTTAAAAATTCATAAAAAATTTTTAAATAAAGAAAAAATTTCAAATCCTTCAGAAAATGAAGAAGGCATCATTGTGAATATATGACAAAAAAATTAAATAGATTGGAGATCTGAACATTGAGATATACATTTTCAAACTTTAATGATTTAAAGGGGGCTAATTATTTATGTTACACCCTAATATAATAAAACAAATTAACCGGAAACTTAAGTTTAAAGTTTTCCGGAAATTTATTTAGTGAATAAAATTAATTTTCATTATTTAAAAATAAAATATGCAAATAAAACCAATTTATTTATTAATTATCATTAATAATTTATTTATTTTGATTTTTATGGATAATAATAATATTGTTTTGAATGAAAAATTAAATAATACATTTTATGCTACTAATGGTCAATTATTTAAATAAATTTGGAATTTTTTTTATTTTTTCAGAAGGTTCGTATGAAATGACTCTTGAAGATATTTATTTAAATAACTCAAAAAATCAAAAACGCAAATGAGGAAATTTTTTAAAATAAATTTGGAAGAAAATTTTATGAAATTGAAAACAAAATTAAATTTTTCTGGCATGAGCTCTTCTCTATATAACAAATCTGTCCCACAGAACTTTTAGTGGAGGGCAATGGAGTCCATGTGATTTTCAAAAATTTATTTCCTAATTTATTTATAATTAATATTATAATCTTAATATCTTTTATAAAAATTCCCAACGCCTTTCTTTAACTAGAGTTACCGTATATGCTCTATTAATTACACTCTCTTGCATAATTACCCCCGCTCTATTAATTACCCCATTCAGCGAGAGGTTGAAACAATAATTACCCAGGGTAATTATTAGAGCATATACGTTATCGTAAAATTCTTGTTATTATTAATCTGAACAAATTCATTATTATTCGAAATTATCTATTTTTTAATAAACGGATTAAAAATAAGCGAGTTAACTTCACTTAAATATTTTTAATTCCTTTATCCAACGTTTCTATGACAACAAACCCCATTAAAAATAAAGTCTGTTTTTTCGCTTTTAAATTTTATAAAAAATTGCTTTTGTATTTAACTAAAAATATTTGCTATTTAATGCTTTAGTGCTCCCTAAGCGTTACTTTTTTGCCGAATTTTTCACGTGGAAAATTGGATAAATACAACTTTTAATGTGTTTGAGTAGGTTTAGAAGGTGTCTTGTTTTTAAACAACTTCCGCCGCCTTTCTAAGTTCATTCGCCGAATAAACCGGGGGAAATTTATTATGAGGGGAAGAGAGGGAAGGAGGGTTGGACTTGTCTATATTTCTTTAATTTAAAAATTTTTTAACTTAATATTTTAAGTCAAATTTAGAGCCAAAATTTGCCAAAATTTAATTTAAATTTTTAAACGATTTTAAAAATCTCAACAGATTTAGAAAGTTTACCAACAATTTTTTTTTTAAATTTAATTAATACTGAGCTTTTACTTAAAAAATAATTAAATTCCTCCTTAAGTTCCGGAAACTTAAACTTACACTCTTACCGTATTCGAAAAGATTATCTTCAGGAAACTCGAGTTATTCTTCTGGGGCGGTGCTCTAAGAACGATTTAAGGGTTAACCAACCCTAAAAAATATTATTATTGAAACTTTAAAATTAATAGCTGGAAACTCGTGTTGTTTAAGGTAACTAGTGTTTCCGGAGTATATTAAGATAATTACTAGAGTTTCGCCAGAAGTTCCGGTTCCGGAAAGTTCCGGTGTTTTTTTGGTTCCGGTTCCGGTCAAAATTTCGGTTCCGGTGAAATATAATAATTACCCCACTCAAAAATAATTAAAAAAATTTTTTTATGTTCACGTTTATATGGTTACTCAAACAATTTCCTCCTCATTATTTTAATTTTCTATTCGTCTAATATTTTTAAAAATAATTACCCAACTATTTAATGAAGTAATGTGCCCCCTCTCTAATCCCCTACATAAATTACTAATTATTTTTCAAATTTTATCATAAAAATTTTTTTAGTTGTTAAAAACACTTTTATTTCCCTATTTTAATTAATTTTAAAATTATTTTTATTCATTTTCCTTTATTTCCATTAAAATAAAATTTAAAACGAAGAGAAGAAAGCATTTACCCTACATTGAAAAAAAGAAAGGGGAAGCTTTAAAAGAGCCTATAATAATTTCAGAAGCTGACCAAATTATGCAACAAGCATTAGAGAATGTTCAACAACTTAGGCAAGAAGCTAATATTCCTAGGAAAAAAGTGTGGGTATTTTAGTTTATACTTAAATTTATTCTATGGGGCTGGATTTATGAGCCTGCACAGCAGACTAAGAGTGGACATTTGGGAGAAAATGTCATTTACTGGGCAGAATGCCAACCAATTAAAAAAGCGCTCGATTTATCTATTTTTCTCATATTTTCTCTTGTTTTTCCACGCTCTTTTTATTTAATTTTTACAAATCCGAGGTTATTGGATTTGAAGCCCGATATCTCGGCTTAAAAACTTAAGTTTTAAAATCGCGCCCGCTATTCTATGCAAAACAACTTTAAAAACATTTAGGCAAAAAATTAAAAAATTTTACCCATTTTTTAAAAAATTGAAAGGATTTTGCTGAATATTGTTGTTTCAATCCCTAGAAAATCAGTTTAAAAAAGAAAAACTAAGTGTATGAAAGTCGATTTTGTTACCAAACGACTAAGCTAGACGAGATGCGTCTAATTTTTCCAAATTTGGCTTTTATAAAGCCAATTTGGACTAAGTTATGGCCAGAAGTTTATAAATTTTTATTGATTTGCAAAAATACAAAACTTCGACACAAATGGTCGAAATATATGTCATTCGATTCGTCTCGTTGAGCTAAGTCGATTTGTGGCACTCACTACTTTTGGAAATGAATTTGGACCGAAATATAGGTCCCGAAAGTTTGAAAAACCGTAGGGGTGAAAAAATCTATTAAAATTTTTTTCAACTATACAAATAATAGCTCATTCGGAAGAACTCTATGAGCTGAGTCGAATGACACCAAAATCAGCTCGATTCGAAAATTTCGAAGAAAGTTACAAGCGACCGAATTTTCGCCGGAATAACCGCTTTTGTTCTATTATTGAGGTTATAACGCAAGTTAATCACGGAGATTTTGGTGAATTTCGACTCAGCTCGACGAGCTCTTTCGAATGAGCTATAATTTGTACATTCGAATTTTTGACCCCAAAGTCAGCTTGGTCACCATGTGGTTTACAACATTCAGGAGTCTGTAACTCGGTCCCGGGAAATCGGATCAACTTCTTCCACACCTAGTTCGACTCAGTTTTTAAAGCTCTTTCGAATGACACCTCATTTGTCCAAATCAATCCAAATTTGGAAAAATTACATTAAAAAATAACAGCCGATTTTTTAAAATTTTACCCGTTTTTATTTTTAAAAGTTTAAAAAAATTTTGCACACTTAAAATATTATTTAAAATGATTTTTTGATGTTCTATTTTATAAATTTAATTAGAAAATATTAATTAACCATGAAAAGGTTCGAACCCGCTACCTATTTTAAACGATTTTGTAGTCACCGCTCTTAGCCACTTAACCATAATTTAAATTCCGCTATGTCCTCTCTTTTGCCTGCGCTAGTCTGCTGTGAGCCTGTATTTCAGGAAGACCCATTCCGAGTTTCAATCTTGAATGACATAAATGCACATCTGGGCTTTAGGTATACATTATATGGATGATTCACCTCATTTAAGACGCTTAGGACATTAGTATCAGTGGTAGAGCTCAGTGGTAGAGCTCCTGTACAGTGGTATATGCAGAGCTCTACCAGTGGTAGAGCTATATCAGTGGTAGAGTGGTAGAGCTCCTGTAACCTGTATATACATAAATTCATAAAATTCCTCTTCCATAAGTAACTGAATAAACCGTCTTTGTGGATTCGATACCGATATTTCTATAAAACTATGTTAATAATTTGATTTTTTACTATTTTCAGATCCGAGGTTGCCAAGAATTTAGTAGAATTTTGTGAGAGCCGGAAGGATAACGACTGTTTTGTGACGGGACATATCGAAAACAATCCTTATCAGGAAAAGAAGTCTTGCTTGTTATTATGAAATTTTTTAGTGAATAAAATAACTAAAAAATTGTATAAAATATTTTTATACTTAATTTGTTTTAAATAAAAGTTAATAAATCTGATTTAGTGGTGACTTGAAATCCTGTTCGAAAATTCAATTCCTAAAAGAAGTTCCGGGGACATGTATACGGGAACGTTTTAGATATCCACTAAATGTTGTAGAGACGTTACTTTACCGAAAAAAGCTAGGATATCAGAAATAACGGAATAATAAATCAGCTTAAATCGTGTAAAGTTATCTCAGCACATCAGTCTGATTTTTAAAAATCACTAGTATTGTGATAATTTTGTTAGATTTTGAGAGATATTAAAATTTTCAGCTGGAGGAGGTTTATCACAAAGAATGAAAGGACACAAAATTTTTTTGCAGCTCTTTCCAGATAATCAAATACAAATGATTCGCTTATATTTAAATTTATTATTTTATCTGAATGTCAGTATTTATGCCTTTAGGCCCCTATAGGGATTTTGAAAACTAAAAAATCTTGATGAATTTAAATCCGAGTTAGTATCAAATCCAATATCTTAATAATCTTCATCTTCTTCGTCCTCAGGTTTCTTGTTCAAATCGAAGAGGAAATTTTTCTTATTTGAATCTATTTTATTTATGTTTTCTTAAAGAATTTTATTTGTGGTCTCTACCTCGATTTGATTTTCATTGGCATTATTGCATTCTTCCTCCTCACGTTGATTTAAAAGATTCCATTCCTCCTCACAAACACTTGATAATTTGACTAAATTAGTAAAATCATCAGTCTGTGGATTAACAGATGAAGTTCCTTCATTATTACTTGATTGAACATTTTTCTTTTTTGGTCGGTAGTTTCGCTGAAAGGTAAAGGTTAAGAATCGGGGGGACAACTGAAAAACACCTTAAAAGTTTTATTTTTTTTCAGAAAATAATTTTATGTAGATAATCAACCATGCGATCACGTATCTAATATCAGATTTTGTAAAATATGACATTTTATCTATTATTTTTTAGCATATACTACTTACTATAAAATACTTTATTTTTTAAAAATTTAGCTTTTATTACTTTTATTAATAAAACTATTATGAAATTACAAATTGTATTCTTGATACTGCTGACCCACTTACATTTCGTCGTGAAAGAGGCATTCTTAGATCTCCCTCAATTTGCCAGGTCTGTGCTCATCAAATGTAACTCAAAAGAAGGCAAGACGTGGTGATGGTCAAGTTTGGAGATTTGAACGAAGAATTAGAAGGGCAAAGCATAAAAGACAAGTTTCAGTTCGGCACGAGTCTATCTTAGAGCAACTGCTGAACTTCTACCATCCTACTAGGATGAGTTTCAATGGAGGCAACTGTTTGGAAAGAAAACAAATGAAGTATTTGATAATATTTTAAACCAGATTTCAATTTAGTATCCAGTCAACAATTGATTTGTTATATAAATCAAGTATATGATAAAAAATCATAGATAAAATGCCATATTTGACAAAATCTGAAGTCAGATTCGTGACTAACTTGGTCGATTACCCACATAAATTATTTTCAGTAAAAAATAATTTTTAAGGTATTTTTCATGTGTCACCCCAATTCTTCAAGATTACCCGCTGATATTCCTTGCACTTTTCTTTATTATTTTGGTAATAAATTTTTCTTTGATTCTTTATCTTTTCTTTATTTTTTTGGTAGTAAATACACATAGCTTGATTCTTTTTTTCTTTATTCTTTTTAATGTAGTTTTGCTGATGCTTTTTTAACTTTTCTTTATTCTGTTTTCTGTAAATTCGACTATATTCAGTCAACCTTTCTTTATTTTTTTGAAAATATTCTTTATTATATTCACTTTTTTTAAACACTTTCTCTCCTTTTTCTGCATCCTTTTTAGTAATTTTTAATTTAGGTTTTAACGTTTCTTTATATTTTTGAATTTGAGGATTGAGCGACGATTCAGCCCCATCATTTAATATTTTATTAACATCATTTGACGTGTAATCCTTTTCAACTTGTCTAGCTAGACTTTTTCGAATCGGAACAGTTTTGACAAATGTCCACAGTACACAATTGAAGATTAAAACGATTAAAAAACTTTCGAGTTTCATCCTCAATAAATTTTAAAATTTATTTAAAAATCAAAAAAATTTATTTAAAAATCAGCGGAAAATAATAAAATTTAAATTAAAAATGAATTTATAAATGAAAATTGAGAGGAAAATAAGGGCATTATTTAAATTGTATTTTGTAATAGATATATTTACTGATATAGTCGATTTATAAAAGTGCAAAAAAGCAGGCAGGCAAATTTATTTCACAACCATTTTGCTTTTTAAGTCTGAAAAAACAAGTAAAATTCATTGAAAGGAAAGTGCATAATCATAAAAACAAATTACATAATAATTAATCAAACACTCAAACCCCCTCGAATACTTAAACCCTTGAATTTTTAAAGTTAAACTATCTACTATTATTCTAAATATTTTCAGGGCAATTTCAGTAAGCGTTTAGACGCGTATATCTTGGCGAGGGAAGACATCTTTGAAATTTGTCATAATTTTTCTTTTCCTTAGATATTAATGAACACTTTTTCATAGATTTTATAAAATTTAAGAAAATATTCGAAATAAATTTTATGCTTAACAAAAGTACGGGAACTTTTGCCTTGAAAAGTACGGGAACTTATTATTAAGTATATTATTTTTACTTATAAATTTCCTTTTGTTGTTTTCATCAATTCTTAATTTTTCAAGCGAAATATTGGCATAAGCCTGTGTGCGCTTATTCTCGCATTAAAATAAATTGTCAAAAGGCTTTAATTTACTAAAATTACGTTAAAAACAATTAAATGCATGAAAAATTTTGTTTAAAAGAGAATAACAAAGAAACAGATAAAAGTAAAAATGCTCACAAAAAAAATTTTGTGATATGTCCTTGCCCTATGGGGATTTTAAAAACTTAAAAATCGAATATTTTAATAATCTTCCAACTCTTCATCCATAGGCATCTCGTTCAGATCAAAGAGATAACTTTTCGTATTTAAATCTATTTGATTTATATCATCTCCAGGAATTTTAATTGGCCCTTCTACCTCGATTTGATTTTCTTCTCCATTATTGTCCTCCTCCTCACGTTGTTTAAAAAGATTTCCTTCCTCTTCGCAAACAATTGGCAATTTACCTTTATTAGTAAAATCAACAGTTTGTGGATTAACAAATGAAGTTCCTTCATTATTATCAGATTGAATATTTTTCTTTTTTTGTCGGTATTTTCTCATGTATTCATTCTCCTTTTCTTTATTATTTTGGTAATGAATTTTTCTTTGATTCTTTATCTTTTCTTTATTATTTTGGCAATAAATTTTTCTTTGGTTCTTTATCTTTTCCTTATTTTTTTTGGTAATATTCTTTATTATATTCTCTTTGCTTTAGTATATCTCTTCCATTATTTCTATCCGTATCCGTTTTTGTAATTTTCAACTTTGGTTTTAACGTTTCTTTATATTTTTGAGTTTGAGGATTGACCGACGATTCAGCCGCATCATTTAATGTTTTATTAACATCATTTGCCGTGCAATCCTTTTCAGCACGTCTAGCTAAACCTTTTTGAGTTGGAACAGTTTTAACAAATGCCCATAATATCCAATTGAAGATTAAAACGATTAAAAAACTTTCTAGTTTCATCTTCAATAAATTTTAAAATTTACTTAAAATTAAAGGAAAAAATAAATATGAGTTAAAATTAAAAATATAAAATGAAATATTGTGAGGAAAATAAGGACATTATGTAGATTATTTTTTGAATTTGATGTATTTATGATATCGTTAATGTATAAAAGGGCAATAAAGCAGCCTAGCAAACAGAATTGCGTCGTAATTACGAATTACGGTTACGAAAATATAGGAAAAAATAACAAATTACGAAATAAAAAATAAAATCACGAAAAAATATTGTTTCAAAAAACATCTCGTAATTTGTCATTAAATTTTTTGATGGAAAAGAAAAAGGTAATAGTGTCGTTTCCAGTCCCCCTTTTTTCCTCACCAAGTTTTCTTTTATAATTTGTACAACATGGACAGACTTCTTTTCTTACATTACAAATGCCTTTCTTTCTTTCTAAAGAACTGGAAAAAAATAATCATTTTTGATTGTTTGTGAACAAAATATAGTAAGGCAATTGTGATTGAAGAAGGAAAAGTCTTCCCATTTTGTTCAAATTTATAGGAAAAACTTGGGAGGAAAGAAGGGGGACTGGAAACGACACTATTACCAAAAAAATCAATATTTCTACAATATTTCCTTTTGTTGATCGGGGACTGAGTGATTTAGAAGGCAGGCTATGATCACCACAATATTCTGTCTGTCTGGGTACACATTATTATTACCCACATTAGAATAATTTGTCAAAAGGCTTTTAATTTAATAAAATTACTTTAAAATACAATTGAATACATGTAAAAATTTTGTTTAAAAGAGAATAACAAAGAAACAGATAAAAGTCAAAATGCTCAACAAAAAAAATCACTTTTGGGATATGTCCTTGTTCTATGCGGATTTCAAAGCTTAAAAATCGAATATTTCAATATTCATCCACATCTTCCTCAGGCATCTCGTTCAGATCAAAAGAATAAATTTTCTTATTTAAATCTATTTGATTTATATCATCTCCAGGAATTTTATTTGGCTCTTCTAACTCGATTTGATTTTCTTCTCCATTATTGTATTCTTCCTCAACTTGATTAAAAAGATTTCCTTCCTCCTCGCAAACAATTGGCAATTTACCTTTATTAGTAAAATCACCAGTCTGTGGATTAACAAATGAAGTTCCTTCAGATTGAACGTTTTTCTTATTTTGTCGCCATTTTCGTTTGTATTCATTCTCCTTTTTTTTATTATTTTGGTAATAAATTTTTCTTTGGTTTTTTATCTTTTCTTTATTTTTTTCGTAGTAAATACTAAATTTTACTTTATTCGTTTCATAATAGTTTCGTTTATTTTCAAGCAACTTTTGCTTATTTTTCCGGTAATATTCTTTATTATATTCATTTTTGTTAAATAATTTGCCTTCTCCATTATCTCTATTTTTTCCCTTTTTAGTAATTTTTATTTTTGGTTTTAACGAATCTTTATGTTTTAGAATTTGAGGATTGACCGACGATTCAGCCCCATTATTTAATGTTTGAGTAGCAGTATAATCCATTTCAACACGTCTAGCTAAACCTTTTTGAGTTGGAACAGTTTTAATAAATGTCCATAATACCCAATTAAAGATTAAAACGATTAAAAAACTTTCAAATTTCATCCTTAAAAAATTTTAAAATTACCTAAAATTAAAGGAAAAAAATAAAATTTAATTTAAAAATGAATTTATAAAATGAAATATTGTGAGCAAAATAAGGGCATTATGTGTTTTATTTTTTGTAAGTGATGTATTTATGATATCGTCAATGTATAAAATTGCAATAAAGCAAGCAGGCAAATTACGAAAGGTAATTTCGAAAGGGTTTTTTACGAAAGGGTATTTTTCTTTTTAATTACGAAAAAAGAGTAATCAGAAGGAAAGTGCATAATCATAAAAGCAAATTACTTAATAATTAGTCAAACACTCGGAACTCTCGAATTTTTAAGTAAAAATTCTGGATTTAGAAGATATTTTACTACTAGGAAATGGAGGCCACAGGAAAATGGAGTCAGTCATTTAGAATCAGTCATTATCAATCATTTATTCTGAAGAGGAATAAGCAAAATTTAAATATAGAAAACTTAAAACTTTAATGAATATTATTTTACATATTCAGCTAGCGGATCTAACATTATACTAAAAATTATTTATTCGCACGAAAATTTATTTTAGAATATATTTAAGAATATAGAATAAAAATAAATGTATCGAAAAAGTAGCTAAGGAAAGAAACACGACGGCCAATCTTGGCAATTGATTATGAATAATTACTTACTCACGACAATATCATATTTTGGAAGAATTTACATCATGGCCTTTTAAATATAGAATGTAATGGATTGGATAAACTGAAAAACCCATTATTCTTAATAGTCTCCCAGGCACTATCATCAGGTTTCTCGTTCAGATCAAAAGGATGAACTTTCTTATTTGAATCTACTTGATCTGTGCCATCATCATAAATTTTATTTGCCTCTTCTAATTCCATTTGATTTTTCTTATTTTCAGCTTTATTGGATTCTCCCTCTCCTTGATTTAATAGATTTTTTTCCTCGCAAACAATTGGTAATTTACCTTTATTAGTAAAATCACCAGTCTGTGGATTAACATTAGAAGTTCCTTCATTATTATCAGATTGAACGTTTTTCTTTTCTTGTCCGTATTTTCTCTTGTATTCATTCAGTTTTTCTCTGTTATTTTGTTGATAAATTCTCATTTTTTCCAGTCGCGTTTCTTTATTTTCATGGTAGTAAATTTTCATATTATTTTTTAACTTTTGCTTATTCGCTTTGTAATAATTTCGCCGATACTCAACCTTCCTTTCTTTATTTTTCTGGTAATATTCTTTATTATATTTACTTCTTTTAAACTCTTTGTCTTCTCCTTTGTTTGTACCTTTTTCTGTTGGAACAGTTGTAACAGTTATCAATAATATCCAATTGAAGAATAAGACGGTTAAGAGACTAGCAAGTTTCATCATAAACTAATTTAAAAATTTTTTTAATTAAAGAAAAATAAGTACAATTTGGGTTAAAAACTTTTTGGATAAATTCAAAAAAGGAGAAGAAATTAATAAAGAAGTGTAAGAAGTAATAAAATTTAATTCAGACTTGAATTTATATAAATAAGCATATGGGAAGGATATGTACTATAAGGACATTGTCTAATTATTTTGTATTTGATGTATAAAAGGTCAATAAGGCGAGTGCGGAAATATTAGACAAACAAATTAAGAAATCTCAAATTGCAATCATTTTTAAATTTCGCAACATAAAAACAAGTAAAATTCATTGAAAGGAAAGTGCGCAGACGAAAAAAACATTTTTATAAGTATAATTATAAATTATCTTCAAGGTTATGTTGATGGACTAAAATATTCTTTGGGGACAGAGTTGTCGCAAACCCGACGTATGTATGCGACGTAAATTTTGGCAAGGTGCCGCCAAAGATTAAAAGGGCGGGAGAATTCGAAACCAGAAATTTAGTTATACGGGCTTACTCTTAAATTCCTTACTCTTAGCAAATTAAAAACAATTTACGAAAAATAATTTATTTTAAATTAAATAGAAACCAAAAATATAAATTTTAAATTACATAAAATTAATTTATTTTATGAGGGTTCCTTATCTAGAACATTTACACATATTACAACCCTTTATCTATAACTATATATACACCTCTTACATTTCACTCAATACCTTACAAATCTTCAGAATTTAACTTTGTAAAATTATTCTTAATTTGCTTTGGCTTTAGATAAACATGTTTTAATAGACTTATGTTTTTAATTTGGATAAGTTAACCTGAAAAGTTTCAGAGAAAATCTATGCTAAAACCAGACCTGGTCATGGATACGGATTTTGCTATCCGTATCCGGATATATCCGTAGGGTCAATATCGGTATCCGTTTGTATCCGTCCAACTTTGTATCCGTCCGCGGATTTGGAGCATCATATCCGTATCCATCCGTATCCGTCCAGTTTTCAATAAAACACTATCCATATCCGTCCGTATCCGCGGATATCTACGGGTATCCGGATATTATCCGTATCCGTGACCAGGTCTGGCTAAAACCTGGTCTGACTGAAAATCAAAAGAGTCAAATCCTTTAAGAAACCTGAGGATTTTGAGTTTTTGACTAATTATTATGTAATTTGCTTTTATGATTATGCAATTTCCTTTCAATGAATTTTACTTGTTTTTTTAAATAAATAGTATAAGGTTGTAAATTACCCTTTTGTAAATTGCCTGTCTGCTTTATTGTACTTTTATACATTGACAATTTCATAAATAGATCAAGTACAAAAATTAATTTACATATTGCCCTTATTTTCCTCTAAATTTTCCATTTTATAAATTCATTTATAAATTAAATCTTTTTTCATTAATTTTGAAGTAAATTTTAAAATTTATTGAGGATGAAATTTGAAAGTTTTTTAATCGTTTTAATCTTCAATTGGGTAATATGGACATTTGTTAAAACTGTACCAACCCAAAAAGGTTTAGCTAGACGTGTTGAAATGGATTACTCGGCTTCTCAAACATTAAATAATGGGGCTGAATCGTCGGTCAATCCTCAAATTCAAAAACATAAAGAGACGTTAAAACCAAAAATAAAAATTACAAAAACTGACACGGATAGAAATAATGGAAGAGATAAACTAAAGCAAAGTGAATATAATAAAGAACATTACCGGAAAAATAAGCAAAAGTTGCTTGAAAATAATAGTATTTACTACCAAAAAAATAAGGAAAAGATAAAAAACCAAAGAAAAATTTATTACCAAAAAAATAAGGAAAAGATAAATGAATACCAGAAAATGTATGAAAAAAATAACAGAGAAAAGATAAATGAACACAGACGAATATGCCGACAGAAAAAGAAAAACGCTCAATCTAATAATAATGAAAGAACTTCGTCTGTTAATCCACAGAATGGTGATGATACTAATAAAGATAAATTACCAATTGTTTGCGAGGAGAATTTTGAGGAAGGAAATCTACTAAATGAAGGTGAGGGAGAATCCAATAATGCCGAGAATAAGAAAAATCAAGACGAAGTAGAAGAGCCGGTTAAGATCGATGAAGATGACACAAATCATATAGCAGATTCAATTAAGAAAATGCATCCTTTTGATCTGAACGAGAAACCTAAGCAGAATGCCTGGGAAATTATTAAAAATAACGGGTTTTTCAGTTTAAGCAACCCATTACATTCTATATTTAAGTTTCCATGATATGAATACTTCGAAAATATGATATTATTCATAAGCTAACGCCATGCTTGGCAGTCCTCTATTTTCTCCATATTTATTTTAATTTCTTTACACATACAGTCGTGGAAAAAAGTATGGAAGCGCTAGAAAATTTTCTCTTAATTTTTAATTTTTCATTCAAAAAATACGTTCTATATACCAATCGAAAGCTCTATTCGTATCTCAGTTGACATGTTTCTGCATTTTTCATGAAAATGAAAATTGGCCGAGATAATCCGGATCTACCGGATATACCAAATCCCACTTTTTCGGAAAAATTTTTCGGAACAAATTTAACAAACCCAAATGATAAAGTATATTTTTCTGAGTATTTTCCACAAAACCGCTTAGAAATATCTTTTTTCGGAGCAGAGATATGATTTTTTGAAAATCGCATTTTTCCCTTAAAAATTGAAAATTTTGCAAAAATTGACGAAAAATGCGATTTTCAAAAAATCATATCTCTGCTCCGAAAAAAGATATTTCTAAGCGGTTTTGTGGAAAATACTCAGAAAAATATACTTTATCATTTGGGTTTGTTAAATTTGTTCCGAAAAATTTTTCCGAAAAAGTGGGATTTGGTATATCCGGTAGATCCGGATTATCTCGGCCAATTTTCATTTTCATGAAAAATGCAGAAACATGTCAACTGAGATACGAATAGAGCTTTCGATTGGTATATAGAACGTATTTTTTGAATGAAAAATTAAAAATTAAGAGAAAATTTTCTAGCGCTTCCATACTTTTTTCCACGACTGTACATAAGAATCAAAGGAATCTTATACAAGAATATTATTCTACATATATTCTTGAATAATATCAAAAGTGAATTTCTGTGTCAAAAAATTTTTGTTGTTTATTATAGATTTTGGATCCATCTATATAAATATTTAAAATAATATTAATTTGAATTTTAACTTTTCCATACTTAATTTTCGCTATTTTCCCTTCAGAATAATTTCACATATTATCACTTATTTTATTTGATATTTTGCAACCTCAAAATAAGCAGACTTCATTTTTGCAGGTACACGACCACGATTGTACTTGCAACTTACGAACAGAGTCTCATAGTTTTGCATATTTCCTATGATTTTTTAAATTTTATTGAAAATAAATTCAGAAAACAAGGAACGCCAAACATTATTGGATTCCTTATGAAATGCTCAGCACATGAATCATGAAAGAAATTCAACCAATCGCAATTCTAGATTTTGGATTCATCTATATGAATATTTAAAATAATATTAATTTAAATTTTAACTTTTCCATTTTTAAATTTTGCTTTTTTCCCTTCAGAATAATTTCTCATTTTATTACAAGCGAAAATATCTAGAAAAAAGAAAAACGCTCAATCTGAACGATCAAATCAAAATAAAAACAAAATCAGATCGAGGCAAAAGAGCCAAAAAAATTCTTGGTGATGGCATGAATAAAATAGATTCAGATGAGAGAAAATATCTTGATTTGAACGACAAACGATGGACATAGAAGTGGATGATTATTAAGATATTGGGTTTTATATTGCATTATATATTGATTTGCTAGCAACTTTTATTAGAATTCATCAAGATTTTTTAGTTTTCAAAATCCCCATAGGACTCGAAAATTGAATTTAAAAGCAATAATTACATAAAGCAATAATTACATAAATTTAAATATAAGTGAATCATTCGTATACGATGATCTGTTGCAGAGCTGAAGTCTCGGTTTTTGTGATTAAACTGCTACCAGTAATTATTATGTAATTTTCTTTTATATTATGCACTTTCCTTTCTATGAATTTTACTTGTTTTTTTAAATTAAATAGTATAAGGTTGTGAAATACCCCTTTTGTAACTTGACTGTCTGCTTTCTTGCACTTTTATTCATTGACGATTTCATAAATACATCTACTATTACAAAATATAATTTATATAATGCCCTTATATTCCTCAGAATTTATCATTTTATAAATTCATTTTTAAATTAAATTTTATTATTTTTTGTTAATTTTTAACTAAATTTATTAAATTTTTTAGGATGAAACTTGCTAGTTTATTAATCGTTTTTATCTTCAATGCTATATTTGTTAAAACTGTTCACATTCGAAAAAGTTTAGCTAAACAATCTGAAAAGGATTACACAGAAAATGATGTTAATAAAACATTATATGATGGGACTGAATCGTCGGTCAATCCTCAAATTCAAAAACATAAAGAAACGTTAAAACCTTAATTAAAAATTACTAAAAAGACTACAGCCAAAGGAGAAGACAAAGTGTTTAAGAAAAGTGAATATGATAAAGAATATTATCAAAAAAATAAAGAAAGGCTGTTAGAAATTAAGCGAAAATACCGAGAACAAAATAAAGGTAAAATAATTGAGCAAAAGCGAAACTACAATATAAAGAATAAAGAAAAAAAGAGTCAACTTATGAAAATTTACTACCAAAAAAATAAAGAAAAGTTGAATGAATACCAGCGAAAATACCGACAAAACAAGAAAACCCTTCAATCTAATAATAATGAAGGAACATCATTTGATAATCCACAGACTAGTGATTTTTCTAATTTAGTTAAATTATCAATTGTTTGCGAGGAGGAATGGAATCTTTTAAATAAAGAAGAGCAGAAAGACAATAATGGAGAAGAAAATCAAATCGAGGTTGAAGAACCAAATATAATGTTTGGAGATGACATAAATAAAATAGATTCAAATAAGAGAAATTATCTCTTTGATTTGA